CTGGACTTGCAATCCCGAAATAGGTCGTGTGATCTCTTGGCAAGGCAGTTCATATAATGGGCAAGTTTCCTAAGTCTCACCACCTTTGTCAAACCCAGCAGTATAATTGGGTACACTCGTATGTCGAGCGGCAGGTCGATCTGTGGTTGGATAAAATGTGGGTATTTCTACCCCTTCCAAGACATCTGTCCAACGTGGAAGAGGAGGCCACAATACCCTCCAGAGAAGCCCTATCTATAGTTCCTCGAGCAAAGGCCCTTGCACAAGAAGTGGCAGGGGAAAGCTGTTTCAGGGCTGCACCTTTCAACTTTCCATTTCCATGTGGTGTTAAAACTAAAATTTAAATTTCCTGTTAAGCAGACCATCTAAAACCTTTCGATTTTGCATTGTTTTATATATAGTTTATAACTTTCAATTAAAATGTAACCTGATGTTTTGCAAAATTAAAGGAAAATTGACCGAGCATTGCTTTAAAAAAATACTTTCTACACTTTGCAATTAAATGTTCCTATTCTCACATTGTTATTAAAAGGTCAAATTAGTCCAGGTGGCTCCTTGAGATAGCAGCTTAGTGACACTTTGCTTCCGCAGGCCTAAGCACAACAAACTGAAACATACTGAGCAACACTGCCCACTTACGATTCACATTAACAGCACGTAAAATGCCCTGTACATACATAACAGGACAAACAAATGCTTGTATCAATGACGTGACAGATTTCACGTGTTTCTATATACCATCAACAACAACCTTTCTCACATCAATGCAATTCTTAACAAGTATAGATACATTTTGCATACAAGACCAATTTGAAATTATATTCTATATTGTTCCCAGAAGCTTCTTGCCAATTTAAACAGGTACACTAGCTTGGTTTTCATTACACGATGACGTCTCCCTCAAGGCAAATGTATGCCAAAACAGAGACTTTTACTGGCTTCAAACAGCGTTATACCACTGCCTTAATGCGACAATATAGTTTACTCCATTTTATTTCTCCATAATTAATTACGTATTTTACGTAACGTTGCTTACGATGATTTTGAGTAATGTATAATGTTGCAGCGAACTAAGACCCATGTCGTAAAGAGAGTGTCCTTGCTTGTATGATTGTCAGATCACGAGCCTTGATTTAAGAAAACCTGACTGCTGATTGTTTGTCAAAATCGTTTCAGAGTTTGTTTGTCTTGTCTGGAATCAATGCTTCTGAAAAATGCACTCCAAGAAGGCTGTGCGATTAAAGGGTTGTGTAAACAAATACGTTTATTTGTTTTGTGAAAAGGCAGGTAAATGGAGAAATAATGTGTGCTTATTTATTGTTTGTTATTTATGTTCCCTACGAGGATTATGTTGAGTTCAATATCGATTATAACCAGCACTGTATATGCCCAAGCTAGTAGCCTAATTTTAGGTTTCCAAGGCCTTGATTATTTTTTTTTACTTATTTGGATATGACTGCGTGCGTGACTTCAACATGAGTTGTTGCTTAAGCCGCTCTCTTGCCACCTGACCTCTGTAGACCACCAAAGGCAAACAGAGAATTATGTCGGTCTATGACATGATGAGAAATGTGGTGATGAGATGCTCACTGCCTCGTCTGGAATACAGAAGGTCGTGGGTTCGATCCCGACCAACACGCCTGTATATTTGGAGTTTGCATGTTATCCCCGTGGTAGCGTGGATTTATTATCTGGTCCTGCGGTTTTTCCCTTCACATTTAGAAACACGCGTTTAGAGTATTTGGCTACTGTAAAATTCCAACTGAGAAGCTAATTCGTTGAGCTATCATTTGTGGCCAAGTTGCGCCTGAAAGAGAGTTTTATAGCTCAGCGAGCCTTACCTAATAAAAAAGATCAGTTTAGTTTACCAGTGAGTACAGTTGCAATGCTCAGACAGCATTAAGGTTCCAAAACTGGTGCTGTATACTGTTACTGCTCTAAAAACCACCAATGTACGGTTAGAAAAAATCGACACATTTTTCACCAACACTGTTTCCTTTAAGGGAAATACAATTTACACCATGGGGCCCAATAAGGAGAAATAAAAAAAAAATCCTGATTAACAATGTATACAATTGACATATGCTTAGTTGTCTTGGAGAGAACAGCCATTCTAGAGGAGTTGGTTTGTTCAGAGTGACAATCGTCGAGGATTATATCTGTACTCACTGCTAACTTCACTATCTTGTTACTTTCTCATTCCTAGATCGTCGTTTTCGCCTTTGTAGTCGACGGAGAAGTCACACGCCCAATCACACTCAAGTAAAATGTAAAATATGAATATTATCCCAATTCTCTCAGCGTAATGACATACTTCCCAACGTAGTGTGGCCATGTATCGTTCAAATTAAGATTATGATGCTCATGATTATATTTGATTCGTGCAAAAGTTATGCGTGGGTATTCTAGGGTTAATGGAGGGAATCGGACATTAGAAACAATACATAGTACAATTGAGTGCGTGAGGCAATATTTTATTGACTACAAAATTGCACATGAGTCCAGAGCATATAAAGCAGACAATAACATAGTAAAAACAAAACGAGAAAATACAAATGAAACAGATATTCGTGAGAGAGAGGCAGTGTGCAGAATATACGGACAGGCAAACACACAATGCTTATGCGTACCAAAGACAGTAAAAACAACATGCTATGAGACACTTCTAATAACACAAAAATGAAATACAACAAACAATAATTACCTCATGAATCAAATCGTGATCCCCGAGCCATGAACATTCATCTAATCACCAGGGCTGGGTTGTTACATGTCTGCTGCCAAGTTTAGTGTTTGCTCTTGCTTAAGTATAAACTATTTGAAAGTGCATAACCCAGCTGAATCAATTCAAGCGTTTTATAACCTCGAAAGACTTAGGTCTTGCTTTGTGTTTTTTTTTCAACGGAGGTTCAATACGAAGATCACATTGCTTTTGCGGCTTTAGCAATGCATTAAGGTCATCGGGTGAAACTGTAGACATGAAAAGTTCCTGAGAGGGCCCGTTTCTCTCAACCACCTTTACAGATTAACGATTGGCATCGCAATTCACATCAAGCTGTTCAATTCCTGGTTGTTAACAGATATCCATTAAATAGCCCATCGGTTGCTTTTATCTCGCTATATATGGTACACTATCAAAATGTGACATCATTGTGCAATACTTTATACAATTAAAAACAAGATACGTGATATCAATGAGTCTCACTAAAAGCCGTCATCGTTGGCCGTGGCATTTCTTGCAGCATGAACCTAAATATAACCCCATACCCAAACAGTTCTCTTGGCAGTCCATGCACCATACAGTGTGATCGGGGGATGTCACTGTATGGTGCCGGCCTGAGAGGGCCGTGGCACGTGCGATGTCCCGACATCGCGGACAGCACCGGGTGGGTTTCTGCCTGAGTCCGGCTCGAGCACAGCACGGCGTGCGACGCACCGTCACCGCGTACACCCCGCAGGCGGGTGTAGTACCAGCCCTAGCGGGGATTGGTGAGCGCTGGGATAGCGCGGACACCGCGCATAGCGCGTGCAGTGCGGGCTCCCACCAGGGGGAGTGGGAGAGTGTCAGCCCAGAGGCAGGGTTGCCCCGGGCCATGGCACTCTGGTTGACCCCGTAGACACGTGATCCGGAGTGTCCACAGAGAGGCCCCCAGGTGGGAGGGCTAGGGGGTGATCACGTGTCCGGGGAGAGCTCTCGAGAGGGAGCTAGAACGCTCGAGAAGGTGGGCGGGGCCAAGGGCGGAGCGGCACCTACCCGTGGGAGGATATAAGGTGGGTCCCTGAGAGGGACCGGGGTCGCTGCATTCGACAAGCTGAAGCTCTACGTCCTACGAGGCATCAACACGTGGTCGGGGACCCGTGTGAGGATCTGACCCTTCGTAGCTGTAACTCCTACGTATAGTGTAGTTAGCTGGGTGGTCATCACCCTAGGCTGTATCTGGTGAAGGGGCAGTTACCCCTTTGTTAGCAGGTTGATGTTACAATAAAAGTGTTGCCTCTAAAGAACGTCTGCGACTCAGTTGGACTCACTCCACATATGAAGCAATTGGCGGGACCCCGGGGTCCCATCACTGCCCCGGGGTGGGAAAAACCGCGTAGCGACACGAGTCTTGCCTTACCGACAACAAAACTAGTGGTCAATCGATTGGCCTCATCGAGAGCTACTCGGGGCACTAAGTTTCGTAAAAAGTTGAAAAATTACATAAACACGTTAAATTCACTGGGGGGCGGCAGGCTCGCCTTGGCAAATAAGTTGAGGATCGACGGCTGACCGGAGGGCGTTGTCACCGCGCGCGACTGCGACGGACGTCCCCCGGGGCTTGCGTTTTGCCGGTGGGGTGGCGCCCATCGTGTTGATCGCCGCCTGCTGGCGCTTGTTGGCGCAAGCAGGCGGCGAGAATGAACAGCAGCCCTGGAGGGGTCCGTCCGGTGTCCTTGCGGGATCACGAGTGGGAGGACTGAAAAATAATCATTATTGACCTGATTTTTGCGGGACCCCGCCAAATGATTCATATGCAGACACACAAGCACTGTACAAAAATGCGTGGGGAAAACATTCCCTCGGTCCACAAACACAAGTGTCCCAATGACAATATGGAGCAACTCCGATCACAATGCACGCGTCATCATTTCTTCTTTGTTGTTTCAATCTTGGAGTGCCTCTGAAGCGTTACCTGGGCCCCTTCAACACTGACCATCGAGAAATCCAGTAACGTATATACAATCTCCATGGCCGGGACGGCATGGGTAGTCCCTGCATTCATTAGAGGATTGACAAGCAGTCTGTTAAATAAAACAAATTCAACTCCCAAGAACAAAAACACAATTTGTGATTAAACTGAACATGGGGCGTTCAAATTTGAACTCTGGGTACATAAAGGAATGTTAAAAATGCTTCATGAAAACATCCAATTATGCTGTCCAGTCTTGCCTTCCACGGGTTGAACAGACAGCGTTTACAATTATAACCATTGGCTATAGAAAGCACACGTACAACGTTCTGAATGAAGGTTTATTTATTTGGCCACTTGTTCTTCTATAGCAGGACAATTATGCTTTACATACAAAACAGGAAGATACAGCGGCACAGCAATGCAGAAGTGATTTATATCCACATCGCTGCGCCACGGGACAGCATGAAGGCTGCTGAAACGAACAATGACCACATTCCACAGCTTCAAACTTTATTTTCACCCACAGAATAATCTGCACCATGCATACGAAGTATTCAGTGATATTAAGTTAAAATAAACGCGCGCGTAGCTGTAAACCGTAACGCTGAAGACAATGAAACACGTGCTAGAAAAGAGGGCACTTGCAAAAGTATGTTTACTCAAAAATACAAAATCCTGTTTGCTCATGTAACATTTTCGGTATGTTGAAGATGTTTTATTGTTAACCAGATAAAAATCACTCATTCCCAAACTAATTGTTGATAACTTACATACTCGTTTTAAAAACAATTCTATACTTTTTTTGCCAACGCTGCTCAATGGTCATTGTATCATTAAGTACACCAGCGCATGCGCTTAATTGAATAATTTATCCCATGTGCAGTACTGCGTTACTCGAATTTCAACCAGGATGCTCCCTAATCAAGTTAAGTGATGCTATATAATTTTTTTTACTAACATATTAAATGGCAGCCAATTCCAATTACATTTTAACTGCACATACATCACCTTGTGATGTCAAATTAATGCATAAATGTTTAATTACTGCATAATGCACTTAAGAGTTATTGCATGAGACTTAAAAATGATACAAGCCAACATTTAATGTGCAGTGATATACATATTTAAAGACTATACAACAGCCAGTTACAGTATTTAAAGTTTTGGCATATCCTGTTAAAGTTTCACGAAGCCTAGGTTCACTCCAATATTTAAAAATAACTTTCACCATAACAATGTGTAACATTATAAAACACAGCTGTGTGGTAGATTGTACTTGATGAGACTGTTTCATTTCAAGTAAAACAAAAGCTTTGCAAGAATGACGTACATTCATTTTTGCTTTACAGTACTGTATATCAGAGACACTGGTGTGAGGGGTCCCTCTGGTGTTGGAAACCACAAAATACAATTTCGATTTAAAGCTTTCGTGACTGCAAGGATTCATCTTCTTTGGTTCTTTCGTGACTTTACCGAAAGAACCAAAGAACACAAAATACAAGTAAAAATGCACACTACAGAGTACCTTTAATTTCATAATGGAAGAACAATTCATTTTAATCATGAAACAAAAATAAACTATGTAGAAATGGCGTACTTTTTCAACCATTTTAAAATCATATATAAACTGTTCATAATACATGTTGAAGATGTCAAGTCCAAAAAGAGTACAGAACCGGAGGTTGATTTGTAATACGTTGATAGACCATTTCAAATAGGTGGTTATCAAACTCCTCTCTTTCCCAATAATAGTAAAACATTACACATTTACCAATCTACACGTGTTTATTATTATTGTATAAAAATGCAAGGAGCAGAGTTGTAAATAAGTGCTCCTTAACTATGCAAGTTTGTGGTATAGAATATGGTAAGTAATCCTTTTCGGAGTGTAAAAAAGCCATATCAAAACGTCACAACAGCAGGCAGAGCTGGCTGGACCTATCGGCAAGAGCATCCAGGGTGACACTGGAGGCAAAGTCCAGGTGGGACTCTGGTGACCATTACGGTGCGATGACGTTCTCTTTATTTTGATCTTTCTGCAAGGGACGTTGAGACTGCGATCCACGCTGTGGTGTGGCTTGGGCCTAAATCAACACACAACATAAATAAATTACATGTGAATCCACTGCCGGATAAGGGTCTTATCACACTCTGCAGATAATGAGGGATGGAACAGAGAGGCATAGAAGTGCAGTAGAGTAATGGATTTGGCTGCACTTGCTGCACACCGTAATCAAAGGAAAATTAATAAATTACGTTCAAACTATTTTATCAGGAAACTGAGGAACTTTTAAGTAAAACAGTTAAGTAAAAATGCACACCATAAAGTGAAAATGCTGTACACTCACAAAGGAAAAAGTGGTTAGCCCACTGTGCTATGAATCCTTGAGTTCTCAACCGGCCCCTGTAAGACCCCCACATCTTCCTTTCACCAACCCTGATTTGACTAGTGTGGTAAAGTATAGTCAAAAACTCCCATGACTGACACAGCTGGGTAAACTGTCATCCAGCAGTGCAATGAAAAATGTTAGAAAAATTGTGAAATATTCACACCCTAGCTGGAAATAAATTGAACAGCTTAAGTGTTAGCAATCAATACAAAAAAACACGTGAAAAGATAAAAGCATTGGCAATGAATGACAATTGTACGATATAGCATGTAAACAAACAGGATATTACATTAAAGTACAGTAACATGAATATATTTCGATTGTCTTCTCTAAATATGACTATACACGACAGATGTATTCTACGGACCCTTGTCGCAGACAAATGAGGCTTGCGAGCAGTGAAGTCAGCAAGGGTTGGTGATCCAGTTGGAGTTGGGTTCAACTGGAAGAAAAAAAGGCTTATTTTAGGTAGACTCACGTCAACATTTTAGATTTAAGATGACATTCTTCCTTACGCATACCATTGCTTTTGTTGACCAAGTGACACATTTATTACATTCAACAAAATATCAGCACATACAAGCTCATCATATTTGCTGTATATCCGAGTGCACAGGCTACAGATTACCTTTCTGATTTTGCTGCCAAGAAGGGTGCCAATAAATGGTCGCTTCTGTGCAGTTCTTGTAGTGTTGCTTACATCTTCCGATTTGTCTTTCCTCAATTGCTGAAAAGAACAGCATTCCCAGTGTTAACGGACAGATACAAAACAAAACTGACCTCACTGGTTAATTAAAGAGTGAATAAATCTTGAAAGTTTGCCTTTGCACAAGCATAAACAATGCTCAAACTACTTGTACTCACGTACCCTCTCCTGCTTCTCTCGCTCTCTGTTCCTCTCGTGCTGCATGGAGATGTATGCCAGAAAGTTGCATCCGTCAACGAGAAACTTGCAGCCTTGGGCTTCCTCCCATTCCCCAACTTGCACTGCCAGCTCCTCCTCCAGCTGTCAATGTACCACAGCACACTTTTAACAAGCGCTCCTCGCACAATGCCACGCTCATGCAGCACATGACTATTGTGCATTTTTGGAACTGTACCTTGGGAAGCATTTTCTGCAGTTTAGCTCTTTCCTTCTCCTCTTTAAGTAGATTCCCTCCACGGTTAGCAAATCGATTTGGATCTGCTGCTTTTTGCTGTTCAACAAGAGGAGACACTCAAGCTTAAGATGTACAGTGAGGGAAAAAAGTATTTGATCCCCTGCTGATTTTGTACGTTTGCCCACTGACAAAGAAATGATCAGTATATAATTTTAATGGTAGGTTTATTTGAACAGTGAGAAACAGAATAACAACAAAATCCAGAAAAACGCATGTCAAAAATGTTATAAATTGATTTGCATTTCAATGAGGGAAATAAGTATTTGACCCCTCTGCAAAACATGACTTAGTACTTGGTGGCAAAACCCTTGTTGGCAATCACAGAGGTCAGACGTTTCTTGTAGTTAGCCACCAGGTTTGCACACATCTCAGGAGGGATTTTGTCCCACTCCTCTTTGCAGATCTTCTCCAAGTCATTAAGGTTTTGAGACTGATGTTTGGCAACTCGAACCTTCAGCTCCCTCCACAGATTTTCTATGGGATTAAGGTCTGGAGACTGGCTAGGCCACTCCAGGACCTTAATGTGCTTCTTCTTGAGCCACTCCTTTGTTGCCTTGGCCGTGTGTTTTGGGTCATTGTAATGCTGGAATACCCATCCACGACCCATTTTCAATGCCCTGGCTGAGGGAAGGAGGTTCTCACCCAAGATTTGGCGGTACATGGCCCTGTCCATCGTCCCTTTGATGCGGTGAAGTTGTCCTGTCCCCTGAGCCGAAAAGCACCCCCAAAGCATAATGTTTCCACCTCCATGTATGACGGTGGGGATGGTGTTCTTGGGGTCATAGGCAGCATTCCTCCTCCTCCTCCAAACACAGCAAGTTTAGTTGATGCCAAAGAGCTCCATTTTGGTCTCATCTGACCACAACACTTTCACCCAGTTGTCCTCTGAATCATTCAGATGTTCATTGGCAAACGTCAGACGGGCATGTATATGTGCTTTCTTGAGCAGGGGGACCTTGCGGGCACTGCAGGATTTCAGTCCTTCACGGCGTAGTGTGTTACCAATTGTTTTCTTGGCGACTATGGTCCCAGCTGCCTTGAGATCATTGATAAGATCCTCCCGTGTAGTTCTGGGCTGATTCCTCACTGTTCTCATGATCATTGCAACTCCACGAGGGGAGATCTTGCATGGAGCCCCAGGCCGAGGGAGATTGACAGTTCTTTTGTGTTTCTTCCATTTGCGAATAATCGCACCAACTGTTGTCACCTTCTCACCAAGCTGCTTGGCAATGGTCTTGAAGCCCATTCCAGCCTTGTGCAGGTCTACAATCTTGTCCCTGACATCCTTGGAGAGCTCTTTGGTTTTGGCCATGGTGGAGAGTTTGGAATATGATTGATTCCTTCTGTGGACAGTTGTCTTTTATACAGGTAACAAGCTGAGATTAGGAGCACTCCCTTCAGCACTCCCTTCAGAGTGTGCTCCTAATCTCAGCTCGTTACCTGTATAAAAGACACCTGGGAGCCAAAAATCTCTGATTGAGAGGGGGTCAAATACTTATTTCCCTCATTAAAATGCAAATAAATTTACAACATTTTTGACATGCGTTTTTCTGGATTATTTTGTTGTTATTCTGTCTCTCACTGTTCAAATAAACCTACCGTTATAATTATATACCGATCATTTCTTTGTCAGTGGGCAAACGTACAAAATCAGCAGGGGATCAAATACTTTTTTCCCTCACTGTATAAGCATTGTTAGCAGGTTTGTATTTGAAACAAGGACGAATGGTTATGCATATTCATGGTTTCTGTAACACTTCAGAATATGCATTTGTTCTCAGTAATTAGTAATACTAGTGATATATTCTAAGCTATATTCTTTGGGTCTTTCGGTAAAGTCACGTAGATAGGTTCAAAGGAAATAACAATAAACTACGTTTCCATCGCAACACAAGCGTTCGTCATCAGGAAGAGGGGGTTGGCTTCTAAAGGCAAACTGTTTATAAAGGTTTGAAATGGGCGTAGCCCAAATGTCAGCAGCCAATGTTAATGTAAGTGGTGGTCAGCGACCGTGACGGTGGTGGGTTTTCCCACCAATCAAAGGGTTGCCAAGTAAAAATTTACAAAATGCAAGACGTTTAAGAGGCCTCCACGGCAGGCTGCCTGTGGTGGCTATGTTAATGTGAGAGATTATCATGTTAATGTGAGAGATTATCATGTTAATGTGAGAGATTAGCATGTTAATGTGAGAGATTAGCATGTTAATGTGAGAGATTAGCATGTTAATGGAGGATCGCTAAGAAAAAATCTCAAGCTCGGTGAGCGAGGTGGCTGCGTTAGGGTGAGAAATTTTACCTGTTAATGTAAAATCAGAGAGTCGAAAATAACTAACATCGGAAGGTGGTAGGATGGGAATATCACATATCACAGCTAGTTATGACTTAAAGTGGTTGATAACGTCCTTCCAATCATTTATCAGTTTATACCCATCTTCTCGATTGAAATTGTGTCTGTGTCTATATATATGGATGGCTTCATGAACGAATCTTTGTTGATAGCCAGTGGATTTGTTATTTTATTTGAACCTATCTATGTGACTCTACCGAAAGACCCAAAGAATATGAATTCCTGCAGTCACGAAAACTTTAAGTGAAAATATTCTAATCTGTACAATAATGACATCACATGGCACATGTGGGACTGCAGGAGATGAAGTCACACATCATGATGTCATTGAGAGGAGGTTAAGTGCATTATGTTATCGGCTTGGCCAAAGTTTATTCTTTTAGCATTGGTTTTCATCGCCAAGTCTTAGGCAACCATTTGATCCATTTGTCTAGTTCTCTATATAGCACGTCCCTCATAGCAACACAATAAAGTTGTGTTCATTGGATCATATTCACGAAAGTTACCATGATCCCGTGTTAGATAGACAGAGATAATGCATTAATTCTTTTAACTCCAGTTGGAAAAATGTAAAAAGGATATTGAAATATGATGTCGCATATCATAAAAAATGTCACCTCAAACTCTAGAAACATCTTCCAGCTTTGTTCCCATTTCGCAACGAGGGAGAAAAGTTTACAGTACTGGTCATAATAGCCCTTCATGCGCTCCAACTCCCTCTCGTGCTCAACAAGTACGTCTTCAGTGTATTCATCTGTGGAAAGGACATTTAGGAGAAAGAAAATGGAAATATGACATTTAACAGAATAAGGGTAATAAGAAATTACCGGACCAGAGATTCCCATATTGTAAAATAAGCAGTGAGTGTATGCTTACCATTATAGAATGGGGAAAATGCCTTCCTCTGCTCTTGCCCATAGTAGGACTTCCCCCAGTAGCCCTCAATTTCATTCCGGATAGGTATAATTAGCCACTTTATGTTGTCTTTCCTCACCTGTGCTAGTCTCTTCAATTCGGAAGTCAGCTAGTAAAACAAAAAAAGTGTAGTTAGAAACAGTTAATTGTGAAAAATATGCATCATTCAACACATGACAGAAAAAAAAGGGTTTCGTTTGCACAGTGCTTACAGCTTCCTCCACTGATTTTTGGTAGCTCTGCGTTTTTGCAGCAAACTCTTTTCGCTCATTTTCAGGCACCTGCAAAAGATTCCACATTGCTTCCAATTCCGAGCGTAGCCTTTGGCACGTTGCCTCAGCTTTTTCTTTTTTAAACTGCACCTGAAAAAGGAACCAACAATTTGAATGTTAGTTAGTTTAACACGTAGGCTTTCACAACCAATATCATCCATAAGAGTTTTTTTGGGTTAGATCACGTAAATGTAAAACTGTTGATTTAAAGCTTTCGTGACTGCAGTAATTCATATTCTTAGCTCTTTCGGTAAAGTCACGTTGAAGGGAAACAATAAAATAATAAAATATATATAAAATATATAATATATACTTTATTATTTTATTGTTTCCATTCAACATGACTTTACCGAAAGAGCTAAGAATATGTATAAATGTGTTGTTAAAACCCGCCACCACCCGACACAGCCAACTCGTAAGGGTTGTCACGTAAACAGAACGTGGCCAATTCGTCACTAGTACAGCACACCGGTGTGTTGGAGAGCCAAGCCACAACATTTACAATCCGAGTACGACGTTTCGCCAGTAATTACAACTAGCTTCATCAGGCGACAGCCAGATTTGTGGAGAAGTCTAACTTTCAATCCTTATATATATTAACGCGTTATAACCCAAAAAACCTCTTATGGAAACATTTTAATGTTTTTTTTCTATTTTCTATTCCATACTACAAACAAAACACAAAATGACAACAACAAAAATGTTCAGGCCTGACCACCTCTTTGAGAAGCTCTTCAACTTTCAAAAGTCCATCATCTGACAGACACAACTTCTCATTGTTGAAAATCACCTCCCTCTCAAACTCCGTTTCAGGGCCAACACCTAGAATTTGAAAGCACGCTTCAATCTGTTCCTTGTAGGCCACAAACACCTTGAAGTTACTGTTCTGTAGGAAAACAAATCCAAAAACAACATTGAACACAAAGTAAATGACACATCTAATACATCAGCCTGTCATGAACACACATTCATTTCAATGCAAAGTAATAAACCCATGAAAACCTGGCCTGGAAAAAAAGTGACCTTTTGCAGCTCCAGGCCATCGACGTAATGACGTAGAGTATTGAGTTCGTCTTCCGTAGGCACGGACCCAGCTGGCTTGGGGTGAGATGATACACCCAGGGCCTTGGTCAGCATAGCCTGCTGATGCTCAAGCTCCTGCAGCACAGAAAGCCGCTCCGCCTTCTTCACTCTCAGCTGCTGCAATTTCTGCCGCAAGTGGCTCTCAAGCTGCAGCACAAGGTACTCCTCCACAGGCTGAAATGAATTCATAGAGAAATGCTCACAATAACGTAGCACATTATTATACTTACAAGACCCTAGTGATGTTAAACACTGCTGTAAGTGATTGACTAAAAGATTAAAATACAGCACATCATTCTGGACAAATGACTGCCCAGACCCAGAACATTGTTTGTGCATGGTGCAACTTATTTTCCACGTGCTCATAAATACATTTTCATATAGTAGTAATATCTTCCTCATCTTCTGAAATATTTTCTTACACCTCAAGTAAAGAAACAGCATCTTTTACAGATAGAACTAGATCACGGATTTTATGTACTGTGTTGAATCGGACCTGGATCTTGTGTTTATTCAGGATCTTGTGTTATTCCAGACATACAGTACCCGGGCGTTTACAAACTAAAGTGCCTCTGTGGTAGTAGCTAGATTGGAGAAACCAAAGACATATCTCGGACCGCATCCGCGAACATAAAGCAGACTTGAAACACAGTAGAACGAACTTCTCTGCCGTGGCAGATCACTGTTATAATTCAGTGGGCTCACATGACATTGACTTCTCCAAGACTGAGGTTCTTTGCAAACCAACCGGCTACCATGAGAGATTCGTTCATGAGGCCATTCACATATACAAGCACAGAGAAAATTTCAACCGAGAAGATGGATTCTGGCTTAGTAACCATTGGAAAGATGTTTTAAACTATTTCCGTTCTTAATTAATTGTATTTTACGATGACCTTCAGACCACAGCTCTTTCGCTGGCATTGGCTATTAATACCTCTCACACCACGGTTAATGGTATGGTTTACAACATGGAGTATAACAGCGCCTCGCAGCTGTCTCTCGCCCCCTCTCTGTTCCGACCATGGATGAACTCGTCCGTCTGAACGGGGCCCGTAGCTATCCGTGTTGCTAAAGTTGAGGGTAAGAATCCACCCATTTTTTCGCCATATAGCATTGTGATATATAACGACTTATTGTTGGTAGCTTAGCTGATTGGAGAATATATAGTTAATTGATAACATTGAGGTAATTTATATTTTAGTTTTTTATTGGTTCACTATATAGTATTCATTATATATTGTAGTGTATACCCAGTTACCGTGAATAGCTCAGATGTGTAGGCCTTGACTTCAACATAGCCATTTCTGTGACCAGTCACAAGCTAATCACTCAGTTATTTCAATGCTAAATTCGCCTAGTTATTTCAATGCTAAATTCTCCTGTTTGATGTGTACTAGGTGCCTCTGAATGTGTATGCTCTGACTTTAACATAGCTATTTCTGTGACCAGTTACAAGCTAATCACTCAGCTATTTCAATGCTAAATTCTATGCTAATTCCTTTGTCAAGGGGTGCCTCTGCGGATGTGTATGCTTTAACTTTAACATAGCCATTTCTGTGAACAGTCACAAGCTAATCACTCCGCCATTTCAATGCTAAATTCTATGCCAATTCCTTTGTCAAGGCGCTTTGTTTCTTCTCACACAGCTTAAAGGTCGCGATCTGAGCGTGGCTTTTTCACTCCAGCGCTGTCCTCCAGACAGTCTCGTCCCTTCACCTGATGAAGGCCGCTTGTGTTGTGGCCGAAACGTCGTGAGAATATTATTGTTATTTTATTTTATCAATTTATTATTTTATTCTCATTCTATGTGACTTTACCGAAAGAACCAAATACGATTATTCTGTATTGTTTAGATTTATATTTTTTAATCAGCATAATACAAAACACATGGATAACATGTTGCATTCATGAGTGTTAGGTTTAATGTATGCATTGTTTTCTATTTTTCCATCAGACCTTACAAAGCATAAATTTAATTTGCTTTGCACCATGAATACTAAGTCATTGCCATAATCCATGCCTGCATATAAATGATATTTGCACTGAAATTAAACCAAGCATGTTACGGCATTTAATAAACACAATTAAACATTTATGCAAATGCATATTAAAACGCTTCTTAAAAATTTACTCAATATTGAATAAAGCACAATATAGAAAACAGTTGTACATACCAGTCTTGGCAAAGGCTTTGCAGAGCACATAATTAAATATAATCTATACTCTAGTTGAATTTCACCCAGAGAAACTGGTCACTTTCTGACAAATGATCCTTATGGCAGTACCCCGGGGTACCAAATAATACAAAATAGCCAAGGCAATTAAATATTTTATTTCTGGGACACTATTTTTTCAGGGGTGTACTTAACTCCACGACTGGGGTACGAATCAATCCGAAATCAGTGCTACTCCGCCATGTCGAAACGCAGCAAGGACGATTGGGCCGAAACCCTGTGAACGCTCGTATGCACTATAGTGCATCGTGTACAGCTCGTCGAGATGAGTCAATTGCCGCATCGCCGACCATCAACAGACTAAAAATGACTGCATCACGGACATTATGCGAGGGTACTGCCATAAGGTTCAAATGCTACGTTTTCCAATTAGTAGCATTTAACTATGATTTGTTTTTATTCCATCATCACTAAATCACACACGTCTGAGTGATTGTTTCGCCAATATAAGTGTAAAAGCACATTTCAACAGACATAAAACACATGCACCGATATGGGCTTACTTGCATTGTTATTTTGCAGACATGACAATCAATTCCCATTTAACATGACTTTAAAACCTTTGCTGTTAGTTTAGAATTCATAATACGTGCTCCCAGCATACCTCATATGCTGGCAAAGTCAGCTCTTTGCAGAGTTCTTGAATGTTGCTCATATGCTCATGGATCCTCTCCTCTAAACTATCCCTTAAGTCCTCTTCTTCTGCAATCATTTGCTCCATCAATTGCTGTGCAGCACAAACGTAAAAGCAATGCAAGTTAAATGTTTGTTATTCGAGGACTTAAGTTTTGCTTGTGTATCAAATGTTTGCCAAATGACACAAAAATGAGTTGTTTAGCCACGAATGCCACACCGAGTCTTAATACTTTTTCATGAGGGCCCTGAATTTGGAATTTAGCCACGACCATAATTGTTTGTAACGTGGGAGGAAACTGGAGTAACTGGTGAAAACCCAGGCTCATTGGGATAACACTCAAAACTGCCATATCCTGGCCACCTTACAGCGTCGTGTCTACAATACCTGGCAAAACCCTCATGGTCAAGCATGAGTACTAATGCATGTATGTAGAACTTATTCATAACATAGTCCACCTCTGATTAGCTTCGGAAATATAAGGTTGGATTCACTTAGGGTGACTTGGCTATGGCAGTGGGAAGTTAGTTGTCTTGGCAGACAAAAATATTATTTTACATACACAACAATCCCATACCATCCAGGTACTATTTTAAAAATGCTTTCATTGTCATGACTTGTTGAGGTGCTCACCTCCACTAGGTCCTCACCTCCACTAGGTCCTTGACCTTCTTTATTCGCTCCTCCTGCTGGACCTTCACGATGCCCATGTCCTCCCACAAGGTTTGCAGCCGGTTCAGGGCATTCATCACAAACTCTTGTAAGCCTTGCTTCAGCATGTTACTGCTACACACAAATGTAGCGAGTTCAATTTAGTCGCAGACGTACTCTTTGGAGGCAACACATTTATTAACACCAACACACGGGGTAACTACCCCTTTACAGAATAACAACCTAAAGTGGTGACTACCAGGCTAACTACGCTAATCACACCGTAACTAGCTACAACGGACCGGACCACAGCTTGGGTCACGGTCCACGTGTTGGAGACTCTGTAGAACGTAGAACATAGACGAAGGTTTCTTCAGGATGAACAACAGCGCCGGTCACTCTGGGGGACCCGGCTTATATCCTCTGCGGCGTGGCTGGCTCTGCCCCTGGCCACGACCACCTTCCAGAACCCTCGAGCAGGATCTCGACCCAGACAACGAGAACACCCCTAGCCCCCACCTGGGGCCCTTTGTAGACTTAACCGGTCACGTGTCCTCTCGGGTCAACCGGAGTGCCCTGACCTATAGTAACCCCGTTCCTATGGCCGGCACTTCCACACCCAATCTTGTACGGCTGGCACTGCACGCCAAGCGTGATGCCATCCAGCGCTGTCACTCAAGGCTCACCGAGCTCCTCTAGGGCTGGTACTGCACCCACATCCAAGTGGTGTCCGCAATGTTAATACAACGCACGCCGTGCCTCTCTAGGGCCGGCATTATTACCCAGTGACATCCCGCGATGTCACTACACAAAGAAAGATCCTTTCAACTATAAAATTAACAGACTGTTGGGACAAGTGCTGTTATTGAGCGCCTATGAAAGCCTGCACGGCCGACGAGGCGGTGGTGTGTCCAGCACCAAACCCAGCTGCCGTTGTCTCCTCGGTGATGATGTTTACGCACCGCATCGCTCAATTTGGGATGTATACTCTTTGGTTCTATTCGGTAAAGTCACGTAGGTAAAAAATAAAACAACAAAAATCACGACGTTTCGGCCACAACACAAGCGGCCCTCATCAGGTGAAGGGACCAGGCCATCCTCGAGACAGTTTTCTTGCTGTGATTGTCTCACTTGATGAAGATTGCTTGTGTTGCAATCGAAACGTCGCGATTTGTTTTATTTTATTTCTACCTACGTGACTTTACCGAACAGAACCAAAGAGTATGGATCCTTGCAGTCACGAAAGCTTTAAATCTAGAATTTGGGATGTGTTAGTTTGGGGGAGGCCCGGAATTGGTTCAGATGTCACAGTTGTTAGCCGGGAATAAAACTCTGGTGGCCGGGTTTCAGCCCAGTCACTAACCACTGAGCCACCTCTTCCACATATGCCACACACACAAAATAAAACCATGTATTGTAATGTATCCCCACAGCCAACTGATGAATCGTGATAATTGAGGGTTGCAATGGGATTTTATGAAATACGAATGATGCGTTTTATATTCGTTTGGATTGTTTCTGTTCACGGATCAACTTAAATGTAGCATTAGCATATAATTTCCATAAATTGTAAAACTGCAATTTATTTTTACATGCATGGTTCGATGTGCATTTCTCGTGAAATTAATGGATGTGCACCAATGTGAAGACTGCAACCTATTTTTACTGAATTTAAAACCAATATCATTGGTAGCAGCTCAGTAATAATAATTGAATGAGCTACACGATTAGTGTAGCCCAAATCCGTTATGGAAAACGGAAACTCATTTTATTCCAATAAAACAAGATTCGGTTCGAATTGTTTATCCTGCTTCTTAAATGGAAACTGTGACAAGACGATGCTCGCATTTTTTCACGTAATGTTAACTAAAAAGCAATAATTCTTCAATGTCCTTTTTTTATATATAAAGCCCAACAGAAAGGTAAACCAGCCGAGGGCATATTGCACGATAGTGGTGGTAATCACAATTTACAGACATAAAAATGTGTACATTTCCCCATAAGAGGACGCAAGCCTCCCCACCCACGCCACGTCGTTGGTTTAAAGTTTTAAACATTCTGGTTCTGATTTACCGTACCCCACCACATGGTAAGAACCATGAAGTCCTTCGCCATTAAATGAACTAAAATCGCTGCGAGTGGTCGTGGTTAAATTTCGATTTAAAGCTTTCGTGACTGCGAGGATTAATCTTCTTTGGTTCTTTCGGTAAAGTCACCGCCATGTAGAATGAGAATAAAATAATAAATTGATAAAATAAAACAACGCAGTAAAATTCTCACGACGTTTCGGCCACAACACAAGCGGCCCTTCATCAGGTGAAAGGACGAGACTGTCTGGAGGACAGCGCTGGAGCGAACAAAAGCCACGCTGAGATCGCGACCTTTAAGCTCTTAGAGTCGCGGCATCTCTTCAGAAAGGTGAGAGACTCGATTAGTTGAGCCTTCTTATCCCGGAGTCTGTTGAATGATCTTAAGGTTGTGTGGAATCCCTCCCCGTAGAGGCGGTTAAATTTCGATTTAAAGCTTTCGTGACTGCGAGGATTCATCTTCTTTGGTTCTTTCGGTAAAGTCACCGCCACGTAGAATGAGAATAAAATAATAAATTGCTAAAATAAAATAACGCAGTAAAATTCCCACGACGTTTCGGCCACAACACAAGCGGCCCTTCATCAGGTGAAGGGACGAGACCTGTCTGGAGGACAGCGCTGGAGCGAACAAAATCCACGCTCAGATCGCGATCTCATTTCTACGTGGTGACTTTACCGAAAGAACCAAAGATGGTCGTGGTTACTTTATACTTATATACTTATTCGCGGTTACAAACGTCCTTGGATAGCTACTTTATTCGAGTTGTACACATTAACGCGACTTTCGAAAGTTCCACGTGATAATTTCCGTCAAAGGGAACGCTTTTACAAGTGTCAGGACTCTCTGCATGGCGATGAGAGCGTCTTGCATTGTAGACGTTAGGCCAATTCCGTGGAGTTTCGTGTACAGTACACGCTTGGTCACCTCGTTCCACATTTCAAATCGAACACGAGCAAGATACACCCACCTCAAATAAGATAACCTCAATAAAAACAGTGTCCAAATGAAACGCGACAGTTGAGCAGTCGGTTGAGAACTGCAATTTTTTTTTTTACAAAATCTAAATATAATTAAGCACAGCGCGCGCGGCAAGGGAACAGATACAAAAATAACATTTGCGCCGCAGGTGGTCTCATATGTGAATTTACCTGTCGTTGTTGCTCATTGTTAAGTCCGAGAGTTGGTGCTACTACTACTGATGATGATGTTGTTTTTGATGATGATGATAAGAAAATAAAACAGACTTCCAACACGACACCAACCTTCCACGTTCAACGAAATTTTTTTTTAAATATTCAAAATCCGCGCATCGCCACCCCCAATTGGATCACGGCGCCGTGACGTTATCAGTTCAAACGCGGAACTTTATTCTGCCGGCAAGTGACGTCACTTGACGCGCGATGACGTCATGCCCACTCCCCCCCCCCCCACCAAAAACAAGACAAAGATCCCCCGTGTAGCCTTAAACAGACTGTTGGGGCAAGTGCTGTTAGTGAGTCGCACCTATGAAGGCCGGCAAGGAACACGAGGGGGTGGGTGGCCAGCAACCACGACTTAGTCAATTTAAGATGTTTTCTTGTTCATGTTTTTTTGTTTGTTTGTTGCGGTTGCATAGGGCTATACCAAATAAATGAAACTGAATGTTTAACACACCGCATCAGGTGCTCATTTTAGGCCGAGTCGACCTAGGGGTGAGCCAGGACCGGTTCAGATAATCGTCACCGGTGTTGGTGGCCGTGAGCGGGAATTGAACTCGGGTGCCGGGTTTATAGAGCAGCGGCGCTAACCGCTGCACCACCGCTCCCCCTCACTACGACACCCCCCACCACCACCCCTTTAATTTAAAAGTCTATCCTCACTCAGTGTGGCCGCGTTAGAGCTGCCATGAAATTAAATCTTGGTGCTACCCGAGTCAAGTTAAATTAGTCCAATGTTGGTTTTGGGGTGGGTTGCTTATTTTTAGTTTGTCAGAATTTCATTGAAAATTCCACGTTCCTATGGCGTGACTAAGTGTATACTGTTGTTATGGATCGTTGTTTTGTTTACAAATACATGGGGGGATGTGCGTGGATTGTCTCTCCGAAACTGATATACTTAGTGTGCATTCGTTTAAGGTTTGGAGTAGTCATTAACCTAAGGCTGACTTAAGAGGTAATTTTATCAAATGGATGTTTCGCTCAATAGTCGCTCACCAGTCAACAGGGTAAAGTAAATGGTATCACTTAATTCCCTGAACTTACATACTTCATTACAGCCGTGCCTCAGGAAATAAAGTAGGACATTCTTAATGAAAAAAAAATGAACGCAGTTTTAGACGCAAGTTGCGCACATTGCAAAGTGGGCCAAACATTTTTGGGGGCAGAGCAGATTAGTAAACCAACCCCCCACTAACCTAACTAGCTAAGCAGCGACTAACCTTACCAACTAGTCATTACCCCTAAAGCAACGACGGTTACTCAATGAGCCACTTGCAACTCGCCTAAACCCTAAGCACCCATTCGTACTGTCCTAACACTAGAACTATAGCTAATCCTGACCACATACCCACAACTACCCACGAGCAATAATCCATCTAAAAAGTGACCCGATCTCATTCTCCCCGACCTGCTCATCCGAGTCATCACCGGCAGCAGCTTTTCATTTTTTTATTCCCTTGGTCAGTTTTTGTTGATCACAAAAAGCGCCACCCCAATTTCCCGAGTCTTAAGCGCAATGTCCCTTGTTGGTAGTCATACTAATTTTACGCGTCTCTCCTCCCACCACCACGGCCGGATACAGGAGTAGCCTTAGCGAGATCCTGTCCGGTTCAAGTCGGGGTTCAAGGGGTAGCTTTAAAAGAGAGGAGAGTTGACGACTTCTTCAATAAACCCGCAGACTTCTTGTACCGCCAGACTGCCCACAAACATCTCAACCAACATCACCACCACCACCGCTGTCTCGCCCACCACCACCAGCCGCTATCCGGGGCTGCGAGTTCCGTGCCGTGCTGCAGCCTGTAGGGGTTTGTTGTTTAATCTCGGGGTGGATTTCTTTTTTTAAAGTCCGCTCAGTGTCGCCGCGGGCGCGTTTTAAAGATCGGCGTTCAGTGATTACACGGTTAAAATAAAAACAAACTTTTTTTTTGTTTGGGGGGTTAGGGAGGCGGATAAAACCCGCCGCTTGTCTCCGCAGGATATCAAGTTCGAAAGCTTTGAAGTCGAGAGATTGCCAGGGATGGAATGTAGCCGTGCCGGTATAAATGTGGCACCACGGTGGTGATGCAGTCATTTCATGGGATTCTTTCGCCACTGGACGACATTTGCCTTTAAGCTGGCAAATACTACGGTCAAGTATATTTAGATATATATTTAAAGTGTAAGTAACACAGACTGCCCGTCATTCGTAAGGCTCTTTTCAGAGCGCTTCACGGACACACTGCCGTTTTTATATTGTAAAAAACAACAACACATCGGACATGATGTATACGCCATACGGTATATGGATAGTGCTGCGTGTTGCTGGCCGCTTGGCGTTTGAAGGAGGAGGAGGAGGAGGGGTGGGGGTATCCTTTGGAAACGTGATTCCAAACATACAGCTTCACGGTTATACACGTTCCCACTGGATGACGGACAGGACACGGAGCCGTCCGATTGCCACTCTGCGTCGACCCGCGGCGGGCTCTGCTGGCCGCTTGGCCGTTCGGAGGAGGGACGGGGAAGCCTCTGGAACGTCTCTGGCACCGGCAAAAAAAAAAACCGTGAATTCAAAAACGCACAGCTGACGGCCAACCCAGTCGCTTGCCCGTCGACGACGGTGACGAGCGACAAAACGGGGTCGCGATGAACGTTCGAGGGTGCCGACTCGCGTGCGCAGCCCTCTGCTTCGTCTCGGCCGCGACCGCGTGCGAACCTTGGTCCGTGACCGCGGACGTCTCCACGACCACCGGCCACCTCCATCGCTTCTGGAGCAGCACGGGATTCTGGTTGGTGGATTCACCCACAACGCCAACCCCAAACCACACACACACACCCGCCACCAGCCATGCGCAACCATCGTTGTCTTCGGTCACTCGAAAGGATGTTGCAGCAACCGCACAACTTTGCAAATGTTGCAAATGCGGAGGTCGCCCCCGTTTTGGTAAGGGTGGCGGGCTGGGGGTGGAGGGGAGTGGTTCGATTTCCCGGTGCGGCAATTGAAATCGCTGTTCGGGGAAAGTCTCACGAATGCCTTGCCATTCGCGTGCCCCCACCCAGCATCATAAATGGGTATATACACCACAAGTTTAGTCGATCGGCCATCGGCGGGTCGAGTGTGGTTCGGGTTAAAGTGTGGGTACACCCAGCTCTTCCGAGATGTCTGACCAGCGTGGAAGAGTAGGCCAAATACCCGTCGAAGAGGGGGCTCTTTAGAACTCGCTGGCAGATGTTTGGCGCTCCCTCTCGTGGAGGCAATTCCGACAGCGGTGGCAGGCGTGCAAGAAATTGTGTTGAGCCTTTCTTTCCCAGGGTGATCAATTTATCAAAACTTTACCGCACTGATGGTTAACGGCGCTCTTAATTATTTCTCAACAGGGGATGATTATATGTACGTGTATTGTGAAATCGGTGACTCCCATGCGTTACAGAGGAAAGCGTTGAAGTGTATTGAGATTTGTGGGACACCGTGCAAGTGTATGCAGAGACGTGAGAATAGGTTTTCCCCTTTTTTATGGAAACAAAACAGGTGTTAAGATGTAATAATAGGGTTTTTCCCCTTTTTTCTGGCAACAAAACTGGAACCTTTTTACAAGGATTCATGTCTGCATTAACCACAATACCTGCAGTCAAAATGCAAACAAAAACATACTATGATAATATATGCATTGTCCTTGACACTGATTGGTCCACACCAAGGGACGGCTTTCTTTTGAGCCTCGACCCAATTGGTGCTCGACCAATTGGGTCGAGGCTCAAAAGAAAGCCTGTCCTTGAAACTGATTGGTCGAGCACCAATTGGGTCGAGGCTCAAAAGAAAGCCGTCCCTTGGTGTGGACCAATCAGCTTCAAGGACAATGCCACATATATTATCATAGTATGTTATTTGTTTGCATTTTGACTGCAGGTATTGTGGTTAATGCAGACATGAATCCTTGTAAAAAAAGGTTTCAGTTTTGTTGCCAGAAAAAAAGGGGAAAAACCCTATTATTACATTTTGGTACTGGCAAAGGAGGTCTAATGATGGAGGTGTTAAGATGTTACAACAACAAATTGAAACCTTTTACAAGGATTCATGTTTGCATTAACCATAATGCTTGTGGTCAGAATGCAAACAAAAACATACTCTGATCATATATGCATTGTCCTTGAAACTGATTGGTCCACACCAGAGACAGCTTTCTTTTGAGCCTCGTCTCAAAACGGTGTTAGACCAGAGGACGCCAAAAGGCGTTTTTGTTTGCATTCTGACCACAAGTATTGTGGTTAATGCAGACATGATTCCTTGTAAAAGGTTTCAGTTTGGTGTTTTAACATCGTAACACCTGCTTTGTTGCCAGAAAAAAGGGGAAAACCTATTCTCATATTTTGGTACTGGCAAAGGAGGTCCCATGATGTATGCAGAGACGTTGAACTAAAAGCGTCGCTTCTTCAAAATGCCCCGTTATTTTAGTGGGGTAACTGTAAATGAATCGCACTTATCACTGCCACTGCTGCAAAGCAGTTCGTGAAATCCGCCTCTACATTTGCTAAAAAAAAGTTTTCTCTCTTCACACGATGTCCAACCCCCTGCAGAATTCGCAATCCGTGCACTGTGCACGTGTCGGACAGTCCCACACACACACGTTATGCCTATTGCGTGAATGTAGAGGTGGTGTTGGTGTAGCTCGACCTGAGCTACACTAAAACTTCACCGCGTTCGTCAGGGTTGAGTGTGCTTTGGTGAAGGCGGAGAGGAGCGTAGACTCTGAGGCAACCGTGACAAAGTACCGATCTAACCCCCCCCCCCCCAAAAAAAAAAAACACATATCATGGACGATATTGGTCGCGAAAGCCGACGTTTTAAAACCAAAGTACCCGTAACTATGTTGCTGTACTGCCCTCTGCTGAGAACGCGGACATTGTCCTACCCGAGATTGCTCCAGCGGTTTTCTCGCGACATTTGGGAGTTGGTTACACGTTAGAAAGAAAGTGCCAGGCGTTGTTGTCTCGATTGTCTTCATGGTTATGTTGACGCGTGCTGATTAAATACAGGGGTCGCAGACAACATCCTGAACTGTACTGCAATTACAACGCAATGCGGATTGATATCGCGTCCAAATTGCGACCGTATCTCAAGACGCTGTGGATATAAAAAAAAAGTTGGCACGTTTTATTTTGACAGTCATATGCAGATGAGAAAAAAAACGTGGCGTTCCTCTTCTACATTTCCCAGTCTCTTCCTCGACCCGACACTTCATCCCGACCCTGCCCCTGCCCTTTCCTATACCGAAGTAGGCACCCTCGATCGCAGTCACAATTCCTCAGCCCTCGCACACCCCTGCGACCCAAATCATTATTGTATTATAGCGACCCTTCAAATACATTGCGCGCCTTACGCAAAGGCGCTCTCGTAAATATAGTATAAAACAAGTAGCGGAGATGTACATTATGAGACCTCCTTTGCCAGTAACAAGATATAGTAATAGGTTTTACCCTTTTGTTATCAGAGTTGTCTCTTTTGTTTGCATTTTGACTGCTTGTGTTGTGGTTATTGCAAACATGATGCCTTGAATAAAGGTGTCAGTTTTTGTGCCAGTTAAAAGGGTAAAAACCTATTACTATAAGTAGCGGAGAGTCGATGGAAACTCTTGATCGATGGTGTCTGGGATATTGACGTTGATCCGGGATTGGATTTGTAATCAGCGGAGGCTGATGTGGTCTCGTTGACAGTATGGGTGAGAAGTATTGCAATGGCATTTTGGTTAATATTGAGTGTGGAGATGGAGAATTTGGGAAGACCTTTGAGACAGAGGCTCCATAAGTTTGATCGTAGTGTATACAACGTGTAAAATAATTTACTTTTGACCTACAATGCATGGGGAGGCAATCATCCAGAAGTGGAATAACAAATGGCTGTACATTTTTGGTTTTCAATTCATGTATTTCATTTTATTTCACTATTGCAATATTCATCCTATTTCTCTTTAAAAGGCGTATGATAATAGTACTGTAAACGTGTTCCATTTTAGATATAAGGATATTGCCATGTGTAAATCTATCTCTAAGAGTTTAAAATAATAACAGTGCATAAGTTTGATAATATAAATAACTTTTAATTACAGCCCCGGAATCTAGGGGTTGATGGTCTTTGTTTAACCAAGGGAGAATCGGTCGGTATTTCGTGTCACATTATAGACCTAGGAATATTACTACTGTAAATGCATGCAATTCCGTGATTGCACGTTACATTTCGGAAGTAGATGCGATAGAGGGCGCACTGCGCACACTCTGCAGTGCTCAGAAGCGTGTTTTCATTGTGCAGATTCTTGCAAACTCATTTCCTGCCCACACTGACAATGCATTATGACCAAGAGTCCTAAAAGTAATGGGGTTTGCACGTGGCCTGCCTGCTTACATGCTCGAGTTCATACACTTACAGTCCAGTATTGTGTTGATCCTTTGTCCGTAGGCAAGCCATGCGGCCACAGTGACCGCCTGGGGCAATGTCTCCAATGTGACAATGCACTTGGGAATGAGAATATATTCCAATCTTTGGAACTGCATTCTCCAAAAAAAAAATCTTACAAAGGAAAGGTGGTGCGATTTATTATGTTGGAATATTTTTTTATTTTTCCATTGTGAAAATCTCATCACCACATGAAAACAAAGGGCAGGCACCATCGAGAGTACCCTGTTGTTTACTCAAGTTAAATGGACTATAGCTGCCAAGTTTGTTGCAGTGCTCTCAACCATGTGACTTTATGAGTATAATGCTGGCTGTCAAGGCATTAATGCGCTTTCCATCGCTGTTTGTGCCCAAAAACAAAAGCTTATTTTAAAAACTCAATATACTGTGAACCTGGCTCCTGAGTTAAATTCCCGATCACCGTTAACATCTACAGCAAGTGATATTAGAACTCAGATGACGTTCACTGTTGAGATAAAGTGATGGATTTAGCTGGTGTGCAGGTTTCGATTTAAAGCTTTCGTGACTGCAGAGATTCATATTCTCGGTTCTTTCGGTAAAGTCACGTAGAAGATAAATAATAAAATAATACAAAATAAACAATTAAATTCTCACGACGTTTCGATTGTAACACAAGCAAGAAAGAACCAAGAATATGGTGTGCACGTGTTAAGTGGCATATGAATTACGTCGCAGCGTCATGAGAAATGGCAAAGGCTTGGGAAGGCCTTCGTCAAGATCATGGTTGCTGATGCTATGAAAAGATCCCGAAAAAAACTAGTATCAAAGTCTTGCAAGTTGAACAAATGAAAATGAATACCACTGGTGGTGCAGTGTTAGTCAAACTACGCTAAAACTGGCTCGTCAGTTGGATTTCCTCCACGGCTAACATTAGTGGCGTCTGCTATCAGAATCGAATATCACTCCCCATGCATCACCTTTTCAACAACCCGCACTGTCCAGTCTGGTGAAAGATGGTCAAACAACCCCCAAGACTGACACAGCATTGGTAAACCTTCATCCAACAGTGAATTGATAAACAATTGTAAATTATATTCTTGGTTCTTTTGGTAAAGTCACTTAGAAGGGAAATAATAAAATCATAAAAATAAAACGATAAAATTCTAACGACGTTTCGATTTCAACACAAGCAATCATCATCATCAGGTGTGATGATCAGGTGTGATAATTGCATGTGTTGCAATCGAAACGTCGTGAGAATTTTATTGTTTATTTTATTATTTCCCTTCTACGTGACTTTACCGAAAGAACCAAGAATGTGAATCCCTGCAGTTACGAAAGCTTTAAATCGATTTAAAAAATATATATTGTTACATTAAATCATCGTTTAACCTTCCAACAATAATTGGGATGCTAAATTATTGGATAACACGCTTCGTTGTGGCTACTGTGTAAAAGGCATGGGTATCTTCACCAATACATACTGATCAGTGTGAAATACATTCACGTATCGTTCCCCCAGTAGAAGTACACCCTGGAACAAAGTCGCAGCTGGTGTTCAGGTGCTCGTGGGATTATCACAACACAGGACTTTAGAGATGGCGACGACTTGGAAAGGCATTCATCCAGCAGTGGATTGATCTTCACCGATTTTGAACACGTTAAATTCGGGTTTGTCTTCTCCTTTCCAGCCCCCCTTTGCCCCACAATCAGGCCGACAAGTTTATGCTGAGTCCCGATGAGCGGCTCAACATGGCTTACGTGGGCGCTGTGCCGCATGGCGGGATCCGGCAGGTGCGCGTACACTGGCTGTTGGAGCTCGTTACCGCGCGGTGAGATGCACAAGTGACCAACTGGTCTGCACCTGTAACTCAGCACCTTGTTTTGCTTATGCATAGTTCGTGTTTGTCCTGCACACAAACACATTTGCCCTTGACTTGCCATTCATTTACATGACCGAGCTTGTTTTTCTGCAACACTGCTGTTGTTATTCATGAATACAGAACACCTGGTGGCCGAGCAGGGTTTCACGGTTGTGTCTGCAGAGCCCTCTGATGTGTTTTTCGGGTTGTACCTCGTGTTGTTTGGCATTTAGCCTTAAGTTGAATCCCATATAGGGGATCTTATTCATAAACTGGATATCCAGTTCCTGAAAAAGCACCCAGCAATTACCACCAATACCCATCTACGTGACTTTACCGAAAGAACCAAAGAATACCAGTTCCGACGTGTTTTTGAGTTAGGAAATGCATATACAGGAACTTGATGTTGATATTTGCTGCGTGCTTTTTCAGGAACTCAATATTCAGTTTCTAAAGGTTATCACAGAATATGGAATGAAACCTATGGCTATATGTCTAACAACACGTGGTATAATGCGAAAACACATTAGAGCTAAAACAGCTGATTGGTAGTATTTACTTTTGCATGTTTTGTGTTTGATGTAAATGCATTTTATAGTTGTCGACAGACCTACAGAATGTGAATGAAAGTTTCGTGTTCGAATAATTGTCATATGCGGATTCTGATTTTACAGTGTAGAGTTTATTTTCATGTGTGCAGAATATAATGTTTTGCTTAATTCTCTGGGCACTTAAAAATAAAGGAAATTACATGAAACATATTAGTTAACAGTAATTTAAATTATTAATATTATACGAGTGCAAAAATACTGCATGGAAAATGGACACTTCAAATACAGGCAGATATATATTTTTAATCAGAACATATATATGTTTCACAGAATATAGAGAGGGCACAATTGTTACCAATCCTGAAACATGTCTGTATATATTTCTACCTATGCTGAATAATTTAACATACGCAAAATGTATAAGTTAATTTAACCATTTTCAACGTAGGTGAATAATAGAATGAAACTTCCCAGTTTACACAAACCAACGCCATCCATAATCACCATTAAATCAAGTTAGTAATGACCCTAATTTGGCAGGGTATTGAGGCATATACTTTTTACCTGATAATTCCACACAGACACTGCAAGATACATTTAACCCAGAAAACTGAGTGAAAGCACACATAAACATTCAACACATTGTCCACTTTACAGTATATAATGTATATAATGCAAGTGTATTGCAAAAGTGTATCAGCCTGCTGAGTAAGAGGGGTCAGAAAAGGTCAAGGTGCAGCACTGCAATATCTTGCTCACCCCACTGGTGGCAGAAGGGCTTTCATGAGAGGGAGCCCTCTGGAAGGCATTTGGCTTTACTCTGCCATGATGGCCAAACATCTTGCAAGAGGTGGAATTCCCCACACTTTACCCCACCACATACACTCTGCCTATTGACGAACTGTGGTGTACCCATTTATACTGCTGGGTGGATAGAGGTGCCCATTGTTTTAGCTGCCACGCCAAGATATCCAACCAGGCGAACTCTAGCTTGCAAGTCCAGGCTGCTAACCATTACGTCACAGTAGCATCAATAAAAGGCACAGTATAAGGGGATAGTACCCGAGATGGTATGCTTTTAGTAATAACTTTGGGAATTAATAAAACACGCCTGCATTGTCATCTCTGCTGGTTTAGTCAAACATACAATTATAAATTTATAATCATTAAAGATCAATACATTATAAAAAATTCCCCCTAGAGTAAACTACTACATATATATTGTGCAAAGTTCCTATGACCACACCCCCCAGAATGTGCCTGCTATCATTAGATCTGCAAATCTAAGCAGGCTTGAGCCTGAATAATTATTGAATGGGCAACCACCGTACATAAAACAGATGTTCACAGGCTTGTGGGGCTATGTTGTGGTGCGCACAGGGTAATTTTCACACAATCCCTTGTTGTACTGTTTGTCTATGCTCTCTACCATCAGAAACCCACAGTGACCAACGTTGCAAAGTGTGGTCAAATCTCTCCCATGACTGACATGGCATGGGGAGGTCCTCATCCAGCAGTGTATTGACAAATGGGCTTTACATGTAAAATACATGCATTTTGTGCAAAGGTACTTTTCTACGTTTTTATTAATTTAAAACATTACATCATCACGTGGGAAATCTCAAGCTTAAAAGTGCATACATTTGATTAAAAATGAGGCCCTCTAGCATGTTTATTCACATGCCTAATTTTCATTGCGGACGTTTTATTTGGCCGTGACACCAACATCTCCTTTTTGAGATATATCATTTTGAGCTATATCTCCTTTTTGAGATATATCCACTATAAAACATTAAAATATCATGAATACTTTTCCCATAACGCGCTCAAACACATAGACCACCCAGCCACTGCACAGCATCACAGTACAGTTCTGCATATATACAATGAAATAAAATAACAGAAATATTACATGTAATGTCGCTTCGCACATGTAAGGCTTGTTGTAGGTATATGCCACACGGGTGGGGAACATACGGCCCAGGACGTCATTGCATACAGCCCTTGGACAGATGAGGCCCTACCACTTCGCAACAGCCTGCAGACAACATTTATCTGTTATTGCAAGCTTCTTCGCCGTACTGATCGGTTACCTTTCAAATAGCCGTGAGGACACAATCCTCGCGTGATCCGAGTTTAATAAAAAAAAACCCGTCCATTCTATCAGGTAACATCATGATTTATGATGGGGAACACCGTGATTTATGATGGACAAATAGACGATCACCTCAGTTGCTCTCAGACGTCTTCTGCTGTATCACGATATCTGCTCATGGACCATAACCAGATATGACAATGAGATCTTGGCCTGAAAACATGGTTAATGTTGTGGCACGCGAGTGTTTCATTTCTAGCAGCGGTTTAAGGCACAGTATGTGAAGGACTAATAGTCCAAGCTTTAATGTTTTTTTAGACAGTCTCAATAAAAGCAGTAGTTTAACGCAGCAAGTAACTACTGTATGTGTATGACAAACTTTGGATAGCTTGGTATCTAAAAAAAAACAATCTCCCAAGGGTTTATTGGGCCCAAGACAGATAAGCACTGCATAAACAACTGCAGTAGAGTAATATTTGCTTCATTATTTCATGCTATTTGCATAAACCGTACAGTAATTAGTCCCTGATATTCTATGTCGAAGGTTTAGACTTGTTGGTGTTTCCTTCACGTGGTAATGTTAGATTGAACCCAGTAAAGCAAACCATTTACTGTACTTGTACACTCACGACTGTTAAGGCTACTCAAAACTAGCTCCTAGCTAGAATATACGCGACTACTGTGCTTTAAAGTATTTTTTGTACTCTTTTTAAAATATATTCCTGTGTGTATATATAAAAATGGAGACTAAAATTAGCATGTATTACCATATTTGCTACAAACAGTTGAATTAACTTAGGACAAAGCCTAATCTTGACTTATATATATAGTCAAATGCTCATGGATAGAAGTGCTTTGGTTTTTCATGAGCAAAGCATCTTTCCTCCCATCTCAAGAAGACAATACTCATATAAAGCCGAGTATTTACAGTACATTAAGCTGTGCAACATTTTTTTCTTTTCAAAAATAGATTTCACTTCCAAGTGCTTGTGTTTGATCAGAATATTAGTGCAGTTGATTGGTTTTAATTTCAATCAAATGCTAAGTTTGTAGTTGCTGTGTTTGTGAAGTTAGTCATAAACTGGCATCATCTATGGCACTCTACATTTACTGTACATTGCATTCATATACCTCGTATGGTATTGTTAACGCATGTTTTGAAGAACTCAAAAATGCAGTAAATGTAGCCAATCATATAAGGCTGTGCATGTGCCAGTCAGCAATCATTTAAGAACGTCTCGTTTGATTGCCTCCTAAACTTCAGAGGCCCCCACCTCCCGATTGCCTTCCAACCCATCGATCGCTACGTTGTTGTCGTGGTGACTTTTCCTTTCTTCAGCCTCTGCGTACAACACCGCATCGTGGATTAAGCAGAAGGTCAGGTTGTCTTCGATGGTGGAAATGCACTTTCCCCGATGGAGGGAGTCCATAACCGTTGGGTTGCAGCATGCCAGGATAACCCTGATGCCAATACTCTGATAGTCCTTCATAATGGATTTAACTGCTCCTACACCCACTGAGTCCATGAACTGCATTGCTGAGCAATCAATGACTATTGTGTGAAAGTCAAATGTCGGCAGAAGTTTATTGAACTCTAACATTGCCTGCTTGTTCACGATCTCTCCGTTGTCACTGCCCGAAAGCTTCTTCCGCTTTTGCAGCTTTTCCTGTCGTTTTTTCTGTGCTGCCACTTCCAGCGCGGGATTGACTCGGGTCTTCAGAAAGAGCTGCGACTTGAAATATTCCTTATTGGCATAATAGAGTGGCGCGTCAAAGTGAAACACGCGCACGCCGGGAACCTCCGCCACATTGCTGTACGCCTCTAGGTCGGCGTAAAAATTGTTGGTGTCGTGCACGCACCCGTACAGCGCCGCTCGCGGCCTCTGCGTGCGCACGATGAACACGAGCAGCGACACGCAGACGCCCACCAGCAGCCCGATCTCCGTGCTGATCAGCGCCGACGCGAGCATCGTCACGAACCAAATGGACGTGTCCACCCTGCTCTCCTGCCACATCCGCGGTATATCCAGGAACTTACGGAACGCCCCGCGGAGGTTGACGATGGTGATGACACCGAGCACGCACTTCTGCAACGAGTAGAAGAGCGGGGCGATGAGTAGAAGCACGAGGAGGAGGACACCGGCCGTGACGACGGCAGACATCTGTGTCTGGCAGCCCGTGGCCTCCTTGACCAGGGTCTTGGCCAGCGCAGCACTCGTGGTGAAGCTGTAGAAGAAGGCGGGCACGATGTTGCAGAATCCGATTGCGATCATCTCCTGAAACACAGGCATAGCAAACAGGTTCATAAGCCAGTTTGATCCTGGGCAAAAGGGGAGCTGAGAAGATAGTCATGAGTTTGACATCATCAGACATTGTCTATCCACTGCTGGTTGAAGGCCTCCCCACGCCTTTATCTTTCCACTCGGTCCAGTGTTGATGCTGTTGATCTCACTCCTGCACAGGAGCTGATTTCATTGCTCAATCACTGCAGCAGATGTCCTCTTGGATGTGTAGCTCAGATATAGTTGTCAAATCTCAAACAGCTTTGTTTTACAAAAGCTTATTTTGCTCTATTGTTTCCTGGAAAGTAAAAATACATTTGAATTTTACCTCTATTGTTGGAATACATAACAAACTTGTGTAGAGAAAGAAAAATGTTGTTTCATATTTAAGAGGTATTTCAAAAGCAATATTATCACTCAACTTTAAACAGGCATTTGTTAAAATATTTTTTTTTTAAATCTGCATTAGTCCCCATATCCTTCGCTTCTCCAAGAGTGCCAAGGCGGACCTGGTTGGCACGGACGGTGTAGCCGTGTTTCTTGGCGAACATCTCGGACAGCGAGACGGTGATGGCGAAGCCGATGATGGCGATGGGGACGGCGTCGGCGGCGATGCGCGGGATCAGTGTCCACTCGGGGGCACGAGGAGGCAAGAACCCAGTGGGGATGTGGCCCGCGATGCTCGAACTGTAACTGCAGCACAGCAAATCCACGAGTAATTAATGTTTGATTTTTACAAGTGCGGGTTATTGGAGGTTACTTGACCATATTTCACCACATTGGCCAGTGCTGGTTGGCCAAAGTGTAGGGTACAAACGGTGTGGCATAGTACAGTATTAGTGGATTTTGTTGCACTGCCCCCCTTTTGAGGGGCTTGGTATACTGGTCGTGGGTTTGATCCTGAACTTGACTCCTGTATATTTGGAGTTTGCACGTTCTCCCCGTAGTTGTTTGTAATTTTCTCCGGGTCCTCCGGTTTTCCCCTCCACATTTAGAAACATGCGTTTCGAGTATTTGGCTGCTATAAATTTCCACGTGATAAGCCACTTAACTGAGCTATAATTTGTGGCCAGGTCGCTGCTGAAAAGGAGCAATATAACTCAGTGGGCCTTACATGGTAAAATAAAATATAGTAAATAGTTGACAACATAACAGTAGCCTACAATACCTGCGTGGTGGTCACGCATCCAAGCATCATGCAGGCTCAAGCCAGCTTAACTTCCAAAAGCTAACAGGATTGGGTGCTTTCTCGGGTGATTTGGTCATTATGTCAACATGTATTATTGATTCAATGACAAGTTGCCACATCTCCAAGTAAACAACTCTAAAGACTTCCGTTTCAGCAACGAAAGAGGAAGAGGAGGCAATGTTGGAACATCGCGCGCAACGCAACACAACAAACAACGACTTACTTTTCCTTGAAGCCACCAAAGTGCGACGCCAGCGTGGCTGCCACCACCACCACCAGCTCGATGGGGAAGGGGGCCTTCAGGCGTGCCTTGAAGTGTTCATTGAGCTCCTTGGCGGGCACGAGCACCAGGATGCAGATGATGCTGGTGACCACGTCGCACACATTGGTGTTGCTGATCTGGCTGAAGATGTGGTACCAGGTCTTGAGAAGGGCGCCGGCGCCGCTGGCGCGCGGGATGTGGATGCCCAGCAGGTACTTCATCTGCGACGTGAGGACAGTTAAGGACGAGCCGGTGACGAACCCACTCAGCATGGGCTCCGACAGGTAAATGGAGACGAACCCCATCTGGAAAATTCCCATGACGACCTGAGCAGGGCAACATGGGTGGAGAGAAAGAGATCAGTGCAAGGGTTTGTTTTGCGCTCCATAACCTAGCTCATACGATGTATGTAACGATTCACTCCTCAGGATATTTGGCGAATTGTCACGATTTAGAGTTGAGATTTATACTCGAGGCTCAAATGTTTTTTTTGTCTCATTTTACTGGCTCATACAATTTGTGTTGGATCCACGTGCCTGAATGTGACATTTGCATATGGTTTACATATAATTTAAATTAATTGTAAGGAATCGCTTCTCACAACAATACAAGCACATTTTAATGTATGTATAGTGAGCGGCCTGCGGCCGCCTTATTCTAGCTCCTGCGAAGGGCTTCTTGGCGCTGCGCGCCTCACTCGTCACCCCAGCTGATGCCCTCTTCTCCCCCCCCACCCCCCAATGTGTATAGATACTACTGACTATTGTATGTAGGATGTGTAGGCATATATGCCCACAACATGAAAAACAAAATTGGGGCGGGGTTGACAAATTTTGGAAACCTGTTGGATCAACTTTGTACTCCCACATTTTATATCAAATATAAAATTGGCATTCAGTACATTTTGAGAATAAGATTCACTGTAATATTTATTTTTCAGGCATATTTACTCCTGATGGTATGCTATTGATATCATACAGTAACAAAGATAGGAACTTGAATGAAGTAAAACATTTTCTTGGAGTAATGTATCAACTTCTAAAAATGGTTTATATCGATATTACATTTTTCTTCAACCCTTTATCTCTCAGATTCTATACCAATTCGCATTTAAGTTGCATAAACCATTACTAGGTCGAGTTTCATAGGAATGACTTTATAATAACTGCATCATTGGGATGAACTTTCTAAGTGCAAAAGTGATACTGGTAACAATGGCTATGAACCTGGTAAACTCCGGCCATGAACGTGACCGTGGTGCCAACAGCAATAGCAAAGCAGCTCCGGCCACAGGGGAGCCCCCCGATCATCACTGTGAAGCCATTTTCTTCATCGCTGTTGGAGAAATTCATGCTGTTGTTGACGACGTGATCGTGCCCTTTAATGCCCTCTTCGGCAAAACCAGCCACCTGCAGCTCTCGGTCCACCACCTGAAACGAGATTCAATGCGAACAACTCAACATGAGAAACCTCATTGCATTCTGGGGAGACTGCAAAAACGTGCAAACATTTCACCAGCATCACATCAAGCCCATGGAATGAAAACACTACGGTAATATTCACTTCGCTGTTGAGAACTTCATTACCAGAGGTAGCTATAACAGAAGAGGTACAGGGGGGATGCATTTACAGGGAGCAATAGGAAAACATCAACTAGTCTCAGTGCCTTCTGTATTATCAACACCTGGCTGAGTGGTATGTCACGCTGTGTCGTACTGTCCAACCAAACACTTAACATTTTCTCCATTTTCTCAGTAACACTGCTTCGTGTGCGTGTTAGTTAAGTAGCAGTTAGGTCACTAGATTGCTGCACAGAAGCCTTTAATTTGTCTGCTTGGTTTAAAGTGGTATTCAAGGTGAAATGCGCATATCCTAACGGGCACGCCACTTCACTTTTCATCTTTTCCGCCTCTACCATCTTAATGATCTGCCTTTTAGTTTCCGAAGAGATGGATTTACGTCGCACTTCTTGCCGAATAAGGCCACTCGTACTAGATGGTCGTTTGGATGATGATGATCACTTTATTACTGCAAAACACAAGCTTCAATGTTATCAACACGAGGAGCTTGAGCATTGGCAGGTGGAAGAGGGAAGACTGACGAAGAGCGCCACTGATTGGGCCAAGTGAGGGAGACTCACAAAGCCCTTCACCGATTGGCTACTAATAATGTATGGTAAACAAACTGCACTTGGTCGCATGCATAGGGCACCTGCAGAATTTAAAATGTTACTCTCATTTTTTTCGCAAGTGATATCTGAACCAGTTACAGGGCTGCCCTTCACTAACTTGCATTGACCAGCATGGTGAAGTCCAGTCAAATTACTCCCCATGACAGGTATGGCGTAGAAAGACCAAAATTCTGCACATGTATTTTAAACTGCTATGTTATGGTTACAGAAGAATGCCACCAAACAGGAATCCAGCAAAGCATGAGTAACGCTAGTAGAAGGAAACCAAGGCAGATGGCCGAAAAGAATATGGTGGAACAGGCACTAGCGCAGAGAAGAATGATATGGAAGCATCAGTAACACGTGGCATTTGATAATTGCCAACAGTGGAGACTGCTGCCAAAAATTTACTGGACCCAGCAGCCTCCATATAGGGTCTGGATGGGACAAAGGGGGTGTACATTTATATACATTTGTATTATAGTAGTATAAATATTCCACACACCTGGCCAATCATGAGACACAGCACCCCGAAGATGCCCACGGATATGTGTTTGGAGGTGCCCATGAGGAAGTAGATGATGCAGGCGAAGAAGGACGTGTAGAGTCCATAGATGGGATCCTGTCCAGCCAGCAGCGAGTACGCGATGCATTGGGGCACCAGTAGGATGCCCACGATGAGCCCCGACATGAAGTCGCCCAGTATCCATTCGCGTACCTTGTACTTTGGCAGCCAGCGCAGTACGGGAAACAGGTTCAGGAAGAAGGATTTGAGTTCATGGGGGGAGCAGCAGCAGTTGTTGGCCACCGTCTTGGCCAGTGCCACCTTTGGATTGAAGGGGGCCTGCTCCCGTACTTGCAGACGTATGCGCACGCACGTGCCTCCATCCCCACGAGGCGACTCCGTGCAGCCATTCCCGACGGCCACCATCTCCTGACGGGATAGTAAACAAGGAAGAAAAATAACGCTATGCATGGCTTCTGTAACGCTTCCCAAAATATGTTAGTCCTCAACAGTATTTACATTGCGATAATAACGATGCGTTTAGCTCGGCACAACGAGGTGGTGTCACACACAATTACCTTGGCCGACGAGGCTTATCCATTGAGCTCTGGATTTAAGTTGCGGGTAAGTTTGTAATCAATGTGGCTGGTTTTCTTTAGGATGCGTCCCTAATAGCAATGCAACTTCATACGAAGGTTTTGTGTATATGGGATCATTTATTAGCATTATTGTGAACTCTCTGCTCCTGATAAGACAGATGGAGTTGGTGCATTAATGCTTTACACCTCGGTTGGAAAGTGTTAATGAGCAAATGAGTGTCTTGTTGGTTATGGGGGGCTGGGAGGGGTTTCTATGACCATATTTCGCCACGTTGGTCAGTGCAAGTTGAATGGTGCGTGCATCTGGGATTCATTCAGATTCACTCACCACTGATGTTAGCCATGGCTGGACATTGAACTACGTTTGCTGGGTTCATAGATTACCGGCCACTGCCCCACTCAATCGCTGATGTGCAATTTAGTAAGAGGCCAAACTTTTTTTTAAAATGATTCAGAGGCAAAGTACTATACTGTGGGGGTTTTTTTTCCCCCCAAATGATCTGGCTTATGTTTAGCAAATGTATTTACAATTTAATCTCGCTACCAGTGTTGAGAAGGTTTGTTTCAGAATACAGTAAATGCTATTTCAGATAAATTAGCCGTGAAAGATTTTATCACGTTTACTACCTACTGCCATGCAAGGTTCCTATACCATCTGGTTATTGTTGCATATTAAGTGGATATTTTTATCATCAGGCTGACAGTGTTTCTGCCCCGAAAGCATAACCTTGTTTAAAGGTTACGGGGATTGCAAACGATTGGGGGCACGACACTATCCATATCAAACAAACCGTAAACAAATGTTTTAACGCTAAACATAATAAGGATACATTCTGCTTTTGTCTGTCATTCTGCATTAAATTGGTAATTTTATTCAGCCAACTCTTGCGGATATCAACTTAATCAAATGAAGCTTGCACTTTTTAAATCAGATTTTGGTGAACTTTGAACAAAAAACACAACTGGTGTTAAATATTCTACCAGCATTCTTGTTTACTTGACCATAAGAATTTAGATGAGTGGATGAACCTTTAGAATGGTGGGGGGGGGGGGGGGTCAGGCCCCTTCAGGGCCTGACCCCCACTATTTGCTTATAGAGTACCTCTCATTACTCTAGCTTCATAAACCAAACACAAACTGACTTTATCTTGCGTGTGCAAGCAGGTTAGCTGGCTTGCATTAACTTAAACTGATTCTCCTGTGTGGTTTCCGAGATACAGTGAGCGAAATAAGTATTTGACCCCTCTGCAAAACATGACTTAGTACTTGGTGGCAAAACCCTTGTTGGCAATCACAGAGGTCAGACGTTTCTTGTAGTTAGCCACCAGGTTTGCACACATCTCAGGAGGGATTTTGTCCCACTCCTCTTTGCAGATCTTCTCCAAGTCATTAAAGTTTCGAGGCTGACGTTTGGCAACTCGAACCTTCAGCTCCCTCCACATATTTTCTATGGGATTAAGGTCTGGAGGCTGGCTAGGCCACTCCAGGACCTTAATGTGCTTCTTCTTCAGCCACTCCTTTGTTGCCTTGGCCGTGTGTTTTGGGTCATTGTCATGCTGGAATACCCATCCACGACCCATTTTCAATGCCCTGGCTTAGGGAAGGAGGTTCTCACCCAAGATTTGGCGGTACATGGCCCCGTCCATCGTCCCTTTGATGCGGTGAAGTTGTCCTGTCCCCTTAGCAGAAAAACACCCCAAAAGCATAATGTTTCCACCTCCATGTTTGACGGTGGGGATGGTGTTCTTGGGGTCATAGGCAGCATTCCTCCTCCTCCAAACATGGCGAGTTGAGTTGATGCCACAGAGCTCCATTTTGGTTTCATCTGACCACAATACTTTCACCCAGTTGTCCTCTGAATCATTCAGATGTTCATTGGCAAACTTCAGACGGGCATGTATATGTGCTTTCTTGAGCAGGGGGACCTTGCGGGCGCTGCAGGATTTCAGTCCTGTACGGCGTAGTGTGTTACCAATTGTTTTTTTGGTGACTATGGTCCCAGCTGCCTTGAGATCATTGACAAGATCCTCCCGTGTAGTTCTGGGCTGATTCCTCACCGTTCTCATGATCATTGCAACTCCACGAGGTGAGATCTTGCATGGAGCCCCAGGCCGAGGGAGATTGACAGTTCTTTTGTGTTTCTTCCATTTGCGAATAATCGCACCAACTGTTGTCACCTTCTCACCAAGCTGCTTGGCAATGGTCTTGTGGCCAATTACAGCCTTGTGTAGGTCTACAATCTTGTCCCTGACATCCTTGGAGAGCTCTTTGGTCTTGGCCATGCTGGAGAGTTTGGAATCTGATTGATTGAATGCTTCTGTGGACAGGTGTCTTTTATACAGGTAACAAGCTGAGATTAGGAGCACTCCCTTTAAGAGTGTGCTCCTAATCTCAGCTCGTTACCTGTATAAAAGACACCTGGGAGCCAGAAATCTTTCTGATTGAGAGGGGGTCAAATACTTATTTCCCTCATTAAAATGCAAATCAATTTATAACATTTTTGACATGCGTTGTTCTGGATTTTGTTGTTGTTATTCTGTCTCTCACTGTTCAAATAAACCTACCATTAAAATTATAGACTGATCATTTCTTTGTCAGTGGGCAAACGTACAAAATCAGCAGGGGATCAAATACTTTTTTCCCTCACTGTATACCGTAAATAACGGTGACTGGCACGAATTTAGAAACGTAATGCTGTTCAAACAATGTGAAAGAGTTAATAACAAAGTCCGCATTAGCGCCAAGCACAAGCTTGGCACTGGTGCTTCCATCGCCGGTGAATGAATGACTTCGATTCAGTTGCGGTTTAAACACACAAGGATGACTTTCAGTGAAGTAAAGCATTACACACTGGTCAGGGCTATAAAATCAAGTTGTGTGCCCTCTTAGACTAACCTTCCATTCATTACAGACCGGGCTTTTATGGGCGTGTTGTGAGTGTCCTTGTTGTAATGACGGAGGTATTCAGAGGAGGAAGAGAAACATTGTGTCTATTTAAGTAGAAGGGCTTAAATATACCAAGCCTTTCCTTGTGTTCCTTTTCTTCAAGGAGATCTGTTATAGATTTCTTACTTTGTCTCTAGAACCTGCCATTATCTGTATGCAGTACGTACACGGTGCAGTTTAATCCGTAATATCAACATCAGTAACTAAATCTTTAATTTACATGAGCATTTCTTTGTAGGTGCATGCAGAGGATTTTAGAATTTCATGACAAGATAAGGAAAGCATTTTGTAAGTTCACAATATGTAATAAGAAAGTATTATATCTGCACAGCTGACTCTCAGTGAACTATGAAGAAGGGTCATGCCCAAAACGTCACCTATTATGTATTTTTCCTTTTAGAGTCAGTGTTATTGACGAATGTGTTGAGTTTCCCTCGTCCACAACTGCCAACGCAGCATTACCAAGTATTTTGCTCAATTGTCAAGTAAGGGTCATTGGAGGCGTGTGCATGTGGCCCAGACAAAACAACAGCACATATATTAGACTTTAAAACATTTGTTGTTTACATGTTTATGATGAGAGTGAAGGCATAGAACACACAATTAGTTTTTTTCTTCTTCAAGTGATCAGTTTACTTGCTGACATGTTTGTGGTCATGTGTAGCACTGGGGTAAATGAACTTTGAAAAGTAAGATGCAGCTAATAACATAAACAGTGAGAATGTAAAACTAACCTAATTCCTGCAGTCACGAAAGCTTTAAGTCAAGATTTAACCTATTTGTTTTCTTTGCAAACATGATTAATCCACATGGATAATCCACTCGTTAGCTGCACCGGTAAGTAGGAAGAGGATGTTGTGATGGTTGGAGCACCTGTACATGGCAGGTTCCTGAATAATATATTAGAGTGAACACCCACAGTTTAGCAATGAAACAAATTGCCACCTCTGAGGTACAAAAATCTAGATCATGGGAAGAATATCGCACAATACCAGCAGAGAACTGCATGTAAATGAATTGTCTTGAGTGCTTTATTATTATGCAGATAACGAAAACTGGGAATTGGAATGCCCCGGGGAGATTTACAGAATTCCCAAACAGCTACCTAAAAAGAGCATGATCCTGGGAATACCAGAATCGGTGGCAACCCTAGCTGGCATCCAAGGAGAAATCCTCAAGCTAACTGGGGGGATTCTGTAAGAGGAGACCTTTGTATGATGGGCGTTGACCTTACAACAACTTCAGTCATCTAGCACAGGGGTCCCCAACCTCCGGGCCGCGGACCGGTACCGATCCGTGGCCTGTTAGGAACCGGGCCGCACAGCAGCAGGAGGTGAGCGGTGAGTCCGCGCGTGGCCCGCCCCATTATTTTATTATTTACCACTTCCTTCCGCGCCTCTTTCACAGTTTTGGTAAACCCACAAGCTAACTCTAGGCAAAATGAGTAAAAAACAAACGTCGCTGGAGAGATTCTTTAAAAAGGGGGAAAGACCCAATTATGAACCCCCCCCCCCGATCCCTGGTGCCAAAAAGGTTGGGGACCGCTGATCTAGCAGGAGTGGTGCCAACATGTGGATGAATCAATATTAACTGTGATGAGCTCTTGACATTGAGTTCATAGCGATTGTGATGGTATCACAGATGTATGTCATAGGAACCTTTTTTTTATTGAAAATAGTATATTTTTAAAAGCCATTTCTTTTTCATCATCGTGTCATTTACATGATTAGTTACCGTGCCAATGCATTTCTTACAGTAGACGTATACATTTGGAAAAATACTTAAGATTATAATTCCTATCTTTCTTGTTATACTTAACAAGAATAAACTTTGTAACGAATTTCACATTAAAAAATGTAAACGATACATTTCAATGAGCGTCCAGTGGGTTTGTAAACGCTGTATTTACAAGTTGTCCTAACGAAGATAATTGAACAAAAGCTGAAAAGTATGCAAAACATGCTTGGAGTTACACCAAGAGATGGGACGGGAAGTGGAACACATCAATATATTGCTATAAAATAGATTTCTGTTTATATGATTGTGGTTATGGTTGTGCTTTATTAATCCCTAATCTCTTCCATTACATACAATGAAACAAGAAAAGGTAAAAAAATAAAAAAAACAGAGCAATGTAATACAATACACTATTAGACATTATTGTAAAAAATTAATAAAAAGTCCATCCTATGTGTTGGTGAATTTTTTTTATATTTTAGGCAGGAAATTCGTTTTCAAATTTAGATTTTTTTTTCTGGGGGGGGGGACCCCCAGACCTCCTGGAAGAATTGGTCCCCTCCAATGTTGAATCCATGGCTACGGCCTTGGAACGCATGGATCAAAAAATAAACTCTATTTAGTGACATCATAGTGATAGTTTATGATCTCGTCAAGGAGCATAAAACCATCACGCAAATTCCGGTCATCCTCGCAGCGGCTTTTGGCTATCCATCGAACAAAGACGGTCACTGCATCGTGCGCTTTCACATGCGCTTCTGTGGTCATCTAGAATTATCTTCCTTCCGATATTAGAAAGCCACTGGAGCTATGCACTTTTAAATCTAGATTGAAAACTCATTTCTTGAGAAACGCTTTTTGTCTTAAGTTTGTTGTCCTTCCCCCCCCCCCCCACATCTTCAATTAGCACGGTTGGCTCCGTAAGGTGCGAAAGAAGTTCTACATGCATTCATACAATGATCTGCTAAGTAGAAGGGATGACGACCAATGGAAGTGTGGTGACATGATGGAAATCGCCTGAGAAGACCCCCATGGAGACGGAGCGATGAGAATAGCTCATGTGCAAGACCATCGCATGACCGTGAGGAGATCACAACATGGGGAGGCCTTCATCCAGTTGTGGATTGATCATGGCTGTTATCAATAATGAATTAGAAGTGAAAAAAACTACTTTCCTGTGAGCTATCCACCTTGAGTTTTATTGTAGCTACAAACTGCAACTTGTCAGCAAACGTTGTTGTTGTGTACTGCAGATAGGTAGAAAAATCCAATTGCGACTGGCAATCAATAGTACCGGTTTTCTCCAGGTGCAGATGAACCCTTCTGTTCGAAGTATAGGTCAAGCTTGTGATGACCATGATCTGCTAATGGTCATCATTAGGTCACTGTTCCCTCCTTTTTTTACCGTGTATAACCTGTTTATCGAGATTGGACAAAAAAAGGCGTTAATCTTTTAACGCCCCCCCCACCCCCCGTGGTCACTGGTTCCAATTGTGCTCGCACATTTATCGTTTTTACAACCCCGTTTTAGCAAAGTGTGAAAACACAACGTACTTTGACTGCAGTAGAGTTGATCTTCGAAAAGAGCCAACCGGATGTGTTACATATTCTTGGTTCTTTCGGTAGTCGCCACGTAGTAGGGAAACAATAACATAATAAAAATATAAAACAATAAAATTCTCACGACGTTTCGACTGCAGCACAAGCAATCATCATCACGTGTGATGATGATTGCTTGTGTTTTATATTTTTATTATTTTATTGTTTCCCTTCTACGTGACTTTACCGAAAGAATCAAGAATATGAATCCCTGCAGTCACGAAAGCTTTAAATCGGATGTTTTTACATTAAGTCGCGTGTACAAGTACCGCAGCTGCTCAGAATTTTAAAAAAAAAATTACATGAAGAGGAAGTTGACCAACACAAGTGGCAATACCAGCGTGTGTTTTTTTTCTTCTTGTTACAAACCAGCGCTTTATAATGTACATCGCCGGTGGTGGCGATGTGAAGGCGTTTGCCCTCGCTCACTCACCATGCCTTCTCAGTCGCATGTAGGGGCAGCGACAACCCTGCCATGCCCAAAGAAGCTCGTCCCAAAACTACAGCAGCCAGTGCTCAATGTCCACTTTTTTATGCTAATGTCTTCCTGGTGACCTTTCACCACCGGCGGCTAAAGAGTGGATTGGTTCGTTCTCCAAAAGGCGTCACATCAGCGAATCATCTCTCATCGGTTGTGACAGAACTAGTGTGTGTGTCAAAATACGTTCAGTGCGTGCACGTGTAATGTGCGCGTTGGAATGAAATAAAATGAGAACTGGACGTCACGCACCTTTTTACATTAATTTAAGTAGTAGTGTATATCGAAACCACGATGTGAGCAGTTTTTTTTTCCCGCACGAGGAAATGCTTTGGGGAAACGTGTGAAGACGATGTGCTTTGACTAATGTGATGCACGTTAAGAAAATGTTAACAAGAATGAGCCACCAATCCAACTGGAATACAGTTTCATTGGCATCCAAACAATATGCTTAACAGAGCTTGGTGCAGACTTAATTATACAATGTCATTACTGTGTATACAATCCTATGAGAATAGGTTTTCCCTTTTCTTCTGGCAACAAAACAGGTGTTGAGATGTTAAAACACCAAACTGAAACCCTTTTACAAGGAATCATGTCTGCATTAACCACAATGCTTGTGGTCAGTATGCAAACAGAAAAACCTCTCATAATATAAGCATTGTCCTTGAAACTGTTTGGTCCACACCAGAGACAGCTTTCTTTTGAGCCGAGTCTCAAAACGGTGTTAGAACAGAGGACGCCAAAAGGCGTACAGCACAAAGACAACGGAAACCTTTTACAAGGAATCAAAGGTTTCAGTTTAGTGTTTTAACATCTTAACACCTCAGTTTGATCTAACCAAAAACCTTTATTATGAATCTTAACACCTGTTGTGTTGCCAGAAAAAAGGGGATAACTTTTTCTCATATTTTGGTACTGGCAAAGGAGGTCCCATGATGTAGCTGCTCACCATTATGTAGCAAAGTCCAATGAGACAATTATACCAATACATTATGTAACATCAAAAATGCAAGTGATTTTATTTCATTTTGCAACATAAACCTCTGGGTATTCACCGACTCCAACGTATTGTAGAAAAGCTATGCGGGTTTATTATTCGTTTGCCGTTTATCAACCGCACCCTCCGAGTCTGTTTGGAACAGAGAACCATGCCAATCGGATCATTGTGGTTGGCGTTGGCATGAATTGCCATAATAACTTCACTAATCAAGTCACCGTTAAATAGTTACCAGTGCGTCAAAGGGGGCGAGAGAATTGAACTTTAGATTTGATCAGGCATGCCATGATGGTGCATGTGATGTTGGCATGGTTGGATGTTCGGCGTAATGATTTTCAAGTCCAAGGTTCACCCGCTTGTGTACTCGTTTCAGCCCACTGTTAATACGTGCTGAGGGGTCCATTATCAAGGCTCTACTTGTTTGCGACTGTCAATAGAGCCTTCAACAGGACCACCACACTCACCACGTGTGGGTTTCCATGGCAGTGAATAGTGATGTGATGCTCTTTGTTATACCCTACTGTGCGTTGTTCATGCATAGTTTAGAATGCTTAAATAGAATGAGATAAGATGACTGGGACATGTACATCTAGAGCACTTTTGTCAGTCCACAGTTTGTACGAGGGTCTCACCACGCCATGATAATAGGTTGACCTTACTTCGCCAGGCTGGTTGGCAAGGGTTTTGCGAAAGCAGATAACACAGACGTTGCAGCATAGTACAGTCAGTACAACAGCTCTGCAGCTCTGCAGCAGCCGACATGGTGGTTCTTTCGGTAAAGTCACGTAGAATGAGAATAAAATAATACATTGATAAAATAAAATAACGCAATAAAATTCTCACAATGGATTTGTCTGCACTGCCCCCTGGTTAACAATGTAGCTCTGCAGCAGCCGACATGGTGGTCACCCATTCAAGCTCTATCCAGGCTCAAAAATCTTGCTTAGTTTCCAAAATCTCACGAGATTATAGGCAAGAAAAGGCCTGGTACAGGTATATTTAAATAAAACAAGAGTTAAATTAAAAAAAACACATCGGAATGCAGCCACATGTTGCTCATTATTGTGCCTCAGAGCGTCTGAGGACATCGTAAACATGATCTTCAGGCCCCAGTTTTAATAATGTTATGTAGATTACACTGGTCTGTAGCCTATCATGTTGAAAGTGTCCAAGGTTAACTCTGCAAGTGATTGTTAACTCTGCAAGTGATTGTTAACTCTGCAAGTGAATGTTAACTCTGCAAGTGAAGGTTAACTCTGTAAGTGAAGGTTAACTCTGCAAGTGAAGGTTAACTCTGCAAGTGAAGGTTAACTCTGCAAGTGAAGGTTAACTCTGCAAGTGAAGGTTAACTCTGCAAGTGAAGGTTAACTCCTGTAAGTGAAGGTTAACTCTGCAAGTGAAGGTTAACTCCTGTAAGTGAAGGTTAACTCTGCAAGTGAAGGTTAACTCCTGTAAGTGAATGTTAACTCTGCAAGTGAAGGTTAACTTTGTAAGTGAAGGTTAACTCCTGCAAGTGAAGGTTAACTCTGCAAGTGAAGGTTAACTCTGCAAGTGAAGGTTAACTTTGTAAGTGAATGTTAACTCTGCAAGTGAAGGTTAACTCCTGCAAGTGAAGGTTAACTCTGCAAGTGAATGTTAACTCTGCAAGTGAATGTTAACTCTGCAAGTGATTGTTAACTCTGCAAGTGAAGGTTAACTCTGCAAGTGAAGGTTAACTCCTGTAAGTGAAGGTTAACTCTGCAAGTGAAGGTTAACTTTGTAAGTACAAAATGGTCATGTATGGAGCTGAATGTTTCGTAAGAATTATGTTTTTAATGCTCTGTAAGAATAATGTTGAGCCCTTTGTCAATCCACTGCTGGATGAAGTCAACTTCACTGCACTCTTTAGTTCAGTCTGTTGGAGGGGGTGTAGCCATGACAAGTTGAGATTTCACTTTAATAATTAATTTATGATAGGAAAATATAAAGATATTTCCATTATACTACAGCGCTTTGACAATCAGTTTTTCAGTTTCATTTATTTGGTATAGCCCTGTGAACCATTCGGCTCTTGAATCGGGTGCAACCACAACAAACAAAAAACAAAAACATGAACAAGAAAACATCTTAAAGTGACTATGTGACCTGATTAATAACCTCCCCACGTCATTGTTCGTGAAGGTGATGGTTGTAGCATACTTCAACGTGCTGGTCAGTGTGGGCTGGTAAAGGGTGGCTTAGGACCAGTTCAGATGTCACTCGCTACCTATGTTAGGCGTGGCCTGGAATTAAAATCAGGTTGCCTGGTTGATAGTGCGATGCACTAACCACTGCTGCGTTTATCATACTCTATGCAGCTATGTAAACATTGCACATGTATAATGAGGCTAAAGAGCATATTGGTCTGTACCACTCATTTACAGTTGAGTGGATTGCATTGGCAGTGGTGCAAAAGTATAAAAAACTAAAAAAACACATTAATCAATAGCATCGTCTTACAACAGAAAACATTGTAATACAGAATATACATAATACATCAGCTGATGCTTATGAATGGATATTGAGGGCAAGAGATCCTTGAAGAAGTGCCATTGACTAAAGCTGAAGCCTATTACCGTATTCTCTGGAGTATAATATGCACTTGTTTTGCTTGTACGTATTTTTTTCAAAGTTGGATGCATCTTATACTCCGGTAGGTGCATGTGTATAACCAGATTTGTATACATTTATTGACACTGGGTAAAGGTTTTTGTGTCTTACTTTCCAGGGCGTGTTATAAACTGGAGAACACAGTATGTCTGTTTGTAAGGCGGTGCTGTTGACGATAGTGGTGAGCTTTTTGTTTGTGCTTAACGGTCACTCTTCATTGGGCATACAAGTACATTGGAATCAATATAGGTTTCCCACATAATGCAATCGATGGTGCATTTTTCTAAATAGTTTGGAAAAATACTGAACCTAATTTTGTTTTAGTTGTGCAATATACGGAACGGCATGCCAAGTGAACTTTGCTGGGATAATTAAGTTTGCTGAGCGAGCGTTCATTGACCGGCGAGTTAATAAACGTTGTCTTCTTAGCCGTGCGAAATCAGTCAGGGCGCCTACTTGTTCGACCTTCTGATGCAAGACAACCGTGGGGGGGAAAAAAAGAAAACTGTGGACAAAAAACCCTCGTTTAATGTTTATGACATTTTTAAAAAAAATTACATCACAAAGTGAATTTCTAAACATTGCCAAACAGTAAAAAAAATGGTTGCACGTGCATTTTTTTCTCTCCAAATTCGACATGGTCAGGCCCTGCACAATCACCCACGTTTGAGTGATTGTCCGATGGATGTATATTTTCTACCAAGGGTGCCTTAATTAGAGATCTGCTATTTAATCAATTGCGTATACATCACTGGGGTGGAGTGGTGGTGCGGTGGTTAACGCACTGCACTATAACTCCACGGCTGAAATCAGTGATGAATGAGGGTTACCTGAACAGTCTGCTTCCCACCCCAAACCAACCGCACCACGGATTAGCACGGTTGGCTTTGTACGGTGCAAATGAAGTTCAACATACATAGAACACATACATACAACCTGCACACTATGAACACAGTATGTACAGGATTTCATCCAGCACTGGATTGCCAAAAGGGTGCTTAATTGTTATCATTTATCATAGTATACCGAGTAGGAATGTAATCTGCATTGTTAAAACAATTATGCTTTTTTAGTATTTTTTTAATGCACAGTATATTAAGAAATTAAGAAATAAAACTGCTAAGTTGGAATGAATACGAACAAATACAAGGTAACGTGAAGCAAGTTTTCTCAACAAAATAAATTAGTTTCATGTCAGCTTCACAACCAATATCTCTTCAGTTCTTAGCTCTTTCGGTAAAGTCACAAGTCCAATGAGAGCTAAGAATATGAATTACTGCAGTGACGAAAGCTTTAAATCAAAATCTCTTCAGTTGTTTTGGGTTAGATAGCGTTAACAAATACATTTGTCGTTAAACACGCAATCACCCAACACAGCCAATGAGTAAGGTTTGTCACGTAAACAAAACATGCGAAATCGTTACTCGTTCAGCACACTGGTGCGTTGGAGAGTAAACCCACAACATTTACAATTCAAGGTCGACGTTTCACCGGTAATTACAACAACCAGCCTCATCAGGCAACAGCCAGAATTGTGCAGAAATTATCCTGTTTCACTCTTAAATATAGGGGGGGTAAATGTGTTGTCGTCACTGTGAACCAATAAAATAGTTGTTCAAGGGGGGATAACTGGAAAACAGCAGAGTGTGTATTCACTCGGGAAATAATTGCAGATGGATTGGGATCAAAATAATGAACTAAAGAGGTGAACAAATGCAGGACACGGGGGGTGCTTTTGGAAAATGTAATTTCATCGCGGAAGGCAATGTAGTAATTATACCTGAAGAGGAATATTTTCTCTCAGTGTACATTTTGACATATGGTGGAATATAGAATCAGAAACATGGACACTTGACGATTAATATGTTGCCTGCATTTCATTGTCTCTTTCAAGATATGTTTGCCTTAACCGACATGTTTAACGAATGGGTGTTTCGCCATAAAAAGGCATTGTTTGGAGTGTATTACAAGTATGACTGCGGTTATCTTTAGAGCGCAAGCCTCTATATGTCTATGGGAATGTCATGTACAAAGTTTAGTTGTTGTCAGTCTTGTTTATCTGGGTAGACAAGCTGTCAACGTAAACTTGTTTGCCCACGCCAGGCTGAACA